GTGTCCTGAGGCTGTGTGGAGCAGCAGGCCCTGGCCCACAAAACCATTCTTTCCTCCTAGGCTTCAGGGCCTATAATGGGAGGGACTGCCTTGGAGATGTCTGGAATGTCTTGCAGACCTTTTTCCCATTGCCTTGGCTATCAGCCTTTGGTTCTTTTTTTAGTTACACAAATATCTTAAGTAAATGGTTGCTCCACAGCCTGCTTGAATTCCTCTCACCAAAAACACTGTTTCTTTTTGCCACATGGCTGGGCTGCAAATTTTCTGAACTTTTATGCTCTGCTTTCCTTTTAAATATAAATTCCAGTTTTATGACATTTCTTTGCTCCCATATATGGTTGTAGGTTGTTAGAAGCAGCCAGGAGACATCTTAAATGCTTTGCAGATTAGAAGTTTCTTCCTTCAGGTACTCTAGGCCATCACTCTCAAGTGTAAGCTTCCACAGAGCCTTAGGGCATGAACAGAATGCAGCCACGCTCTTTGCTGTGGCATAACAAGAGTGAGCTTTGCTCCAGTTCCCAGTAAGTTCATTTCCATCTGAGACTTCCTCAGCCTAGACTTCACTGTCCTTATCACTATCACTGTTTTGGTCACAGCCATTTAACGGGTCTCTAAGAAGTTCCAAACTTTCCCTCATCTTCTTGTCTTCTTCTAAGCCTTCCAAACTCTTCCAACTTCTGCTGGTTACTCAGGTCCAAAGCCACTTCCACATTTTTAGGTATCTTTATAGCAATGCCTCACTTCTTGGTACCAATTTTCTGTATTAGGCCGTTCGTGAATTGCTATGTCAATGAAAGAGTCAAAGTCTGTAAAATATTTGAAGAGATTTATTCTGAGTCAAATACGAGTGATCAATGGCCCGAGGCACAGTCTTGAGGTCCTGAGAACGTGTGCCTAATGGTCAGGCTGCAGCTTGCATTTTTACAATTTAGGGAGACATAAGACATCAGTCAATACATGTAATATATACATTGCTTAGGTCCCGAAAGGTGGGACAATTCAAAGTGGGGGCTTCCAGGGCATAGGTGGATTCAATAATTTTCTAAATTACAATTGGTTGAAAGTGTTAAGTTATTGTCTGAAGACCTAGACTCAATAGAAGGAATGTCTGGGTTAAGAGAAGGGATTGTGGAGACCAAGGTCCCCACTATACATAAGAAGCCTCCAGGTGGCAGGCTTCAGAGAGAATAGATTGTAAATATCTATTAGACTTTTCAAAAATGCCAGAGTCTTAGTGGCCTACAAAGGGAAGGGAATCTTCTGCAGAATGTAGATTTTCCCCTAAGAGACAGCTTCGCAGGCCTATGTCAAGATATAGGAAAGAAACACAATTGGAGTTAACATATTTTAATTCCCTTCTTTATCTGTCATGGGATGTTATACCAGAGTTAGGTTGGAAAGTAAGCCACGTTATATAGGGTTAAACAAAACCCCTCAGACGAGACTTTATGGTTTTTAGGATGTGAATCCTTAAGCTCCTTAGATAGGAATTTGGGCAGGAGAAGAAAAAGGTCAGAGTTTAGTTATAACAAAATATCTGAGACTGGGTAATTTATAAAGAAAAGAGATTTAATTGACTCATGGCTCTGCAGGCTGTACAAGTGAGGACTAAACTCTGATTTTTCATCTTGCCCAAATTCCTACCTAAGGGGGCTAGGGAGTCATGCCCTACAAACCACAAATTATCATTAGATGGGTTTTATTTGACCCTATATATCATGACTGACTTTTCTATCTGACTCTGGCATAACATTATGAGATAAGGAAAAAATATTCAACCCCAAAATATATTTCCTTGCCATACCTTGAAATTGCCCTGCAAAGTCTCTTGTGGGAAAAATCTATATTCTCTAGAGAATCCCGTTTCCCCTTTGTTTTCCTTCATTCCTTCCCAGATCCAGGAGATAATCAAGTAGGAGCCAGGTACCCTTTTAAGTCCGATAAGAAAAATTTTACAGCCTGCTCTCTCTGAAGCCTGCAGCGAGCTTCCTCTGCACAATAAAACCTGGTCTCCACAATCCTTTATCTTAACCTGAACATTCCTTTCTATTGATCTCAGATCTTTAGATAAACTCAACCAATTGTCAACTAGAAAATGGTTAAATTTACCTATAGCCTGGAAGCCCCAGCTTTTGAGTTGTCCCGCCTTTCTGAATGAAACCAATGTATTTCTTAAGTGTATTTAATGAAACCAATGTATTTCTTAAGTGTATATGATTGCTGTCTCATGCCTCCCTAAAATACATAAAACCAAGCTGTACCCCAACCACGCTGGGCACATATTCTCAGGACCTCCTGAGGGCTGCGTCATGTGCCATAGTCACTCATATTTGGCTCAAAATAAATCTCTTAAATATTTTACAGAGTTTGATTCTTTTGTTGACACAGCATGGCACTAACAAATACTTGGCTTCTGGTGAGGGCCTCAGGAACCTTAGAGTTATGGTGGAAGGCCAAGGGGAAACAGGCATGGCATATGGCAAAAACAGGAGCAAGGGGTGGGGGGAGGTACCACACACTTTTAAATGACCAGATCTTGTGAGAACTCACCATGATGGGGATGGCACTACTCCATGAGGGATCTGCCCCCCTGACCCATACACCTCCCTGTAGGCCCTACCTCCAACACTGGGGATTACATCTCAGCATGGGATTTGGAGGGGATATCCAAACTTTATCATTGGGGTTCTATGGGTTTATGGTTTTCATCAAATTTGGAAAATTTTCAGCCATTATTTCTTCAAATATTCCCCTCCTCCCAAACGTTGTGGACTCTATTTACTTATATGTCAGATCATGTGAAGTTTCCCACAGCTCACTGATACTCTTTCATGTTTATTAATGTATTTTTTTCTCTCTTTCATTTGTATATATTTTCTATTGCTTTATCTTTAAATTTACCAGTCTTTTCCCCAGCAACATCTAATATGTGGTTAATCCTACTAAGTGTTTTTTAAAATGGTATCTAATTCTAGTTTTCATCTCCAGAAGTTAGGTTTGGGACTTGTAAATATCTTCTATGCCTCTACTTAACTTTTGAACATATGGAGAAACTTTTAATAATGGTTTGAATGTTCTTGTCTAGTAATTCTAACATTTGGATCAGTTTTAGTTTGGTTTCAAGTCTATCTGGATGACTTATAGGCATTGCATTTCTCTATTCCTTGTTTTTCTTTGTTTTTGACTAAATGGTCTTGTCTCCTTGAATCCCTGGTTATTTTTTAGATTGCTGGACTTTATATATGAAAAAAAAAGTATAGCTGATTTGATACTCTGGATTATCTTACATTTTTCCAGATCAGATTTATGTTAGCTTCTGGTCACTGGTCATGTTTAGGGCACTGGCAATCCTGGATTACCCTGAACTAGTCAGGTATTAAGACAATTCATGGCGGGGTATCAGTTCTTATGAGGGTTGTTTTATTGACAGTTCATCTTTACTCCTTGGATTTTGTCTTTTTTGGGGTTCCCATCCTAAGCCTAGGGGGTTTAGCAGCATGCCCACCCCTCTCACCTTAGTAGATTGTATTCTAGGTAGACATTTACTAAAATCCATTCATATTTCTTTACAGGAAAAAATCGTAGAGTTCTCAACATTAAGGCAGTCAACTATATCTCAAAATTACTTTGTAAGGTGACAGAAATCTTTGCCCATCTCCCAATATGATAGTTCTGTTTGTGTCCCTGAAGATGACTCATTTGATTATACCGTTTTTGTGCCCTTAGCCCCTTGAATCTCAGCTCCTCAACTGCCTTTAGTGGAATTGTCAGAAGATTCTCTTTACAGTAGATATCTTTATGGGACAAGTGACCCCAGATGCTGGGGTCACTTCCCTCATTTTTTTTCTTCCCTATGATCTTGTTATCATAATTCTTCATGACTTGGTTGCTTTCTGATGCCTTGAAAATGTGTGTCTCTGTGTGTGTATACGTATATGTGTGCGTGTGTGTATATATATATTTAATTTGGTCCAGTTTTTCTTGTAATTCTCGTCAGTAGGGTTGGTACTGATGAAGTGACGTATCTTGCCTTTACTAGAAGTGGAATTCTCCAGTGATATCTCTCATATCAAACTGCCTGTTGTCTATTTAACATCACCTTATAAGCATCTCAACTTACTATGGACCAAATGGACCATGATCTACCCTAGTCCCATCCCATTTTCCCTTTGTATTTTGTTCTTGAGGCATCGTTCACCCAGGATTTTAACCTCAAACCCTATCCCTTTGTTTTTGTTTTTCCCTCCATCCTTCCATATCCATTGGTCACAGAATCTTCAGTCATCATTTTCTCTCCATCTCCATCGTCACTATCTTAGTCCAGGTTTCTACTGGATTTCCCTTGAGTGTTTTCATGCATTCCCATCTGTCTGTCCAGCCCAGTGTACCCCCAACACTCGTCGGCTCCATACTTTTAGGAATGTTTTGTTCCTGGAAAACAAATCTAGTCACTGTATTATTCTGACTGTGCATTTTTTTGCTGGATTTTAATTTCCTAGAGTGCTATCAACACTCCTTGTGTAGTTGCCAAGTTCCCTACACCTGGGCCTCACCTTTCTCCAGCCTCCTCTCACTCCTTTCCTTGTCTCAGCAGTTTCTTACCCATGTCTTGTTTTCCCTGGGACCTCATTGCTCCCCTCCTTTTGTCAACCCCTCATTCCTCTTCTTCTTCAGTTTTCAGCTCAGCTGTTACCTCTTCTGGCATGTAGTGGAGACATATTCTATATCTGGTTAACTAACAAGTTATAAAGAAATGGAAGAACAAGGTAACCTGTATCTTTTTATTAGTGTGTGTGACAGTGAATAGCAGTGAAATGGTTGAGAGAATAATTTAGTAGTACATAGCAGAGATTTTAACAAATGAATTAACAATGAATGTGTAAAATGAATGTATTTGAAAAACTCAATCTTTTAATTTCTTAGGTTTGAGGTTATGTTGTTATACTCTTATTTTTAAATATTGTCTATAATCTGTGTTTTATTTTTGTTAATTTTCTCAGCTTCTAATCTTACGAGGACACCATCAGCCAATTACTGCTATAGCTTTTGGAAATAAAGTGAACCCACTTCTAATCTGCTCAGCATCGCTGGATTATGTTATAATGTGGAACCTGGATGAATGTAGAGAGAAAGTACTTCAAGGTAAATGAAAATCTAAAACTTGTTTTGAAAAACCTACAAAAGGAATAACTCAGTATACTTGGTACCACCCAAGGGTGTTTCTGTTGCGTAGCACCAATCCCTCGGGGGGGTTGGGATAATTTTGTATTCCCTTTACCTTGAAACCAGGCATGCAAGCAGGGTGCTTTATATGGGAAGGGCACCAGGCCATTCAGACTCACTGACCTTTGCTGTGTGTTATGCTGATCTTACAGGTTCATTGGTTTTGATCTTATGTCCCTTTTTATTTTAAGAACTGTCAATTTTGTATCAACCTGAAAACATGTAGGAAAGTTGAAATATTCTTTTCTTGTACAGCAAGGTTTCTTGAGCACCTGTAATATTTCAGGCTGGAGACCAGTGGTGAATAGGAAGGGCTTGATCCCAAATCCTGTGGAAGTCACAGCTCAGAGTTTGAGGGAGACACTGTGTAAGCGAGTGACTGAGTGGCTATGAATTGTGAGTGTGCAGCAGAGAAGGCAGATGAGGCCAGGGCAGCACGCACATACATAGGGGTACTTTGAGATACAGGATCTCAGGGAGGGGCATGTGGGCTGAGGGTGAGAAGGAACGGGATAGGCGACCGTGATTTTGGCAGATGGACCCAAATGTGCCAAGGCCCTGGGAAGAGTGAGAACCTGCCTCTGTGCTTGGGGCGTGCTGATGTTAGGAGAGTCTCATCTGAGAAAGTTGAAAAGTTAGGTAGGGACCACATTAAGGAATTTGAGTTTTGCGGAATTATATAGAGAAGTTAGAGGATTACGTTAAAACATAAATACAAAGAGACTATAAACCTATGTATTCTATGTAGGGACATGAGCACGTATCTCTCTCTAGACTGGGTGGCTGTGTGACGTGAACATATGTGTCTGTCTAGGCTCTGGGTGGCTGTGGGACATGAGCACATGTCTCTCTGTAGACTTGGTGGCTGTGGGACATATGCACATGTGTCTCTCCCAGGCTCTGGGTGGAGTATATCTGCATTTTGCTGGTGATAGGTCCGTGATGCACACTAGGACCAGATGACCTTGCCCGCCACTTTTTCCTTCAGCTTTGTGGATTTGCATGACGGACTGTGCATCAAGTTGCGCTGCTGCACTTGTTGTCCGGGTCTTGGGAACCTCCTGGCTTCTTGTGGGTGTCCTGCCATTGCTTAGTCCCTGGAGGCCTCGGTTGGATAGGCTTCTACTCCCTTCCTTCCAACTGATGTTAGCTGAACCTGGACATGAGGGTGGACATGGGGTTGGATGTGGGTGAGAAGCATCGAAACACGCAGTTTGATGTGTATGACTCTCACTGCGCGGGTACCACAGCCTCCAGTGGAAGGCATCTTCCTGTTTTGATGTTGAGGGATTCTCTGCAGGGAAGTGCTGCATTCCCCAGGTTTTCAGAAGACTTCTCTATATCCAGTATTTTTGATATTCTTAGAGAATCAAAATCACATGAAAGCTCACTGGCATTCTCTCAGTAATTTTAGAATAGAGGGTTACATTCTCAGTATTTTTCTCAGATTAATGTCATGCTGAATGCATTTGGTGAACTGGCACTAATGGTGAAACTCACTCTAGGGCTGGTCCCTCGAGGGACTGTCGTGGGCTCGCTTTTGGGAAAGGTGCTGTGTTTACAGTTGAGCCCGGATGATCATGTTGTTGCCGTATGTGCTGGAAACAAAGTATTCACACTGGATATTGAGGTAAGATTGAAATTCCCACGTGGATTTCTCAGAAGGGTTAGCTGTTGGGGCCTCCCAGGTTCTGGGAGCTTGCCCAGCTGTCTTTTCTTTTTTTCTGTACTCCTTTTTTTTTTTTAAAGCTATATCTTAAATTTAGTTTACTTTTATAAAATCATATCTTTGTGTTGCAATTGGAAAATCACTGGTGTCAGATAGTAATATTTATATAAATATTAAAACTCCCTGTGGAATATGGGTATCAGGCATGACTTTAGAGAAACATGTTCTACAAAACTTTTATTTCTCAGATATTCCCTGATTGTAGGCATCCTTCCTAGCATAGCGCGTTTGTTTATATCTTTTACCAAAATGTTCTTTTCATCAAGAATCAGCCTTTTCGCAGCCATTTCATCACCAGGGTTAGTTTAAGGAAACGTGTCACCTCTTCCTGCCTGTGTGATTTCAACCTCGGGTGTCACTGGAACAGTCAGCTACCCCATTGCAATGTTGAAAGCAGTGTTAGAAATCAGGAAGTGGGAATCTAAGGGAACACGAAGGAAGACTCGGTTCCTCTGAATTGTTGCTGTGCCCAAGCCTGATTTTGGAGATGACCCCAGGCCTGGAGTCGTTTTTGTGGCTTTGATTTGCCAAGTCAACATGGCCAACAAAGCTGTTTGCCTGCGTAGCTTTTCCTGTGATAGCCACTTAATAAACGTAGGCGAGGGAGGATGTTAGGCATGGAATAGTATTTGGTTCTCATGGGCCTCATGTGTAATAGGCATTTTGGGAGAGAAGACATTTATGTCTTCAGACTATTTTTGGACTAATTATGAAATTAAGGCTCATAAATTTAAAAAGTTCACATCATGAGTTAAGCCACAGAGAGATGATGGGAAGTATCTAGGAGTTAGGTAAAGAGCTTTACACTATTTCTAGTCTGTCTGTGAAAGCTTTCTGGATATGTTGGTGTTTTAGTTGTAAGTATTTCATGTTTTGTTGTAAACATCCTGTGATAGATAGATTAACATTAGGCCACCCCACCATTTATAACAAAACTGCAAAGATTTAACATTGTTGTGTCAGGAAAAGGAAAACCAAAATGGATTAGGAAGAAGCGTAAAACTGTTAGTGTTTGAAGGAAGATACTGGGTCCCAGATGGAGAGAACAGTCAGCCTGGGGTCAGGTTGGAGCCACACCCCTGAGTTGGGCACATAGCAGGTGAGTAAGCAGGTGCCTGCTACAGATGGGTGTGCAGCCCGTGGGAGCCTCCCCAGGCTTCTTTAGGAGTGGGCGTGAAAGACGCTTCACTCGGGGAGAATGACTTTCAGACGTGGGGAATGGCTGTCACGTGAGTCCATGAAGAGCTCACATTCTTTTAACAGCATACTCAGCAAGTCAACCGTTTATGCTATTTGATTTGAAAGACTTCAAATGAGTACTGAGCACTTTCTGGTAAAAGGCACTTTTTAATCAACATAAAATGTCAAAAGGAAATAAATATTTTTCAGGCTATAATGTTATTCATATCATAGACAGTGGACTAGCTTTATTTTATAGAAATTGGAGAAAATGGAAATGTGTATTTCATAACAGTCTCATAACTCCCTATTCCTACACAGGTTATAGTCTTGCCTTTTATTTTTAACAATCTGATGGTAACTGGCATAATATACTCAGTATTCTAAGTTGTATTTGTTGATGGCGATATGTTGCATTACTAAAGAAGGTCTTCCAGAGTTAAATGTCTATTTGTAAGTTAAGTCACCATATATACATGTTTATTTTTTCTGCATGTATGCTAAGGGATATTTGTCTTATTTAAATGGAGTGCTGTAAAATTCAAGAACAGTACCCCAGCACTTCGTGCCTGGAATCCCCTGGGGATACTCTCAGGGCAATGACTGTGACCTTTAGGAACCCCCGACGCTCTGACTACTCCATTCCTCAGTCATGCTGTTCAAGCCTGATTTCTATATAAACATGAAGCCCTGTGCATCTCCAGCTTGAGATGCTGACTTCTGGGGTGCTCTCTTGGCTGTAGGAGGTTTTAGGGACTTCACGAGGAAAGGATAACTCATGAGCGCCTACTGCTGCACCATCTTGTCTTGTTGTAGGAAGTCCCGGGTGGAGAACAGATGCTGAGGGATTGGGAACAAAGAGCAGTACGTTCTGAGTTACAGGCAGGGAGCCTCAGGGCGGATGCATGGGGCAGCCGGTGGGGAGACAGGATTCCTGAGGAGACGCCAGCTTCCTAATTCACTCAGGGTCAGCTCTGGTTAGTGTCATCTTTTAACACTGCTGAGACTGTGCCTGTGGCCTGAGCTTTCCTCTTAGCTCAGACATCTGACTTTTCACCCTTGGTTTACATACAGAGAGTTCCAACTTGAAAAGAGGAATAATACGGGCTTTATTTTGTAACAGCTATTTTCTGTGACATGCATAGAACATCCTGATGTTAATAACCACCACAAAGTTCCATCACTGACCTTCCTGCACACATTTCTCTCAGACTCAGGCTATCCGGGCCGAGCTGCAGGGCCACCTGGGCCCGGTGACTGCGGTGGAGTTCTGTCCCTGGCAAGCAGGCACCCTCATCTCGGTGTCCGAGGACAGAGGCTTTAAGGTGAGGGATAGACGATGAACTGCGTGCCCACGTGGCATGCGCTATGGAAAGACCTGTGGTGAGAGGGAAGGTGTGCGGTGGCTTCACAGCCATTGCCGCCTGAGTGATGTTGTTTCTACCCCACTTCCGCAAGGTGACCACTGTCCTGGTTTCCATGGAAACACCAAGCCTGATGTTTTGCCAAGGTCGCTAACTGGGCTTGGATTCCTGACAGGACGGCTCTGCAGCCCTGGATTTCCCCAACTGCATCCAGGGCCTGGGAGAGCCCAAGCACAAATTCTTCTCCACGGCATTTCCAGGCCCAGAGCAGAAGAGCCAGTTCCAGGGTGGAGGGCTCAGTCAGCACGAAATGAGGATCTGGAAGAAAATGAAATGCGAATTCAGTTTTTATCCAGCTGACACCAGTATGCACCTGATAGTGTAGACCTGACCCGCGGGTGTGCACCTGACAGGGTGTAGACCTGACCCGCAAGTGTGCACCTGACAGGGTGTAGACCTGACCCTCGAGTGTGCACCTGACAGGGTGTAGACCTGACCCGCGAGTGTGCACCTGACAGGGTGTAGACCTGACCCGCGAGTGTGCACCTGACAGGGTGTAGATCTGACCCGCGAGTGTGCACCTGACAGGGTGTAGACCTGATCTGCGAGTGTGCACCTGACAGGGTGTAGACCTGACCCGCAAGTGTGCACCTGACAGGGTGTAGACCGGTACAGTTTCCCGCTTGGTTCTCCTATCTTGGCAGCGTTGACTAAGTACCTGGGAACTGTTTTTAACCTTGTTTCGTGTTTGTTTCCAATTCTTCAAATCCACCAGGGGTTTATTTATGGAAGTGATCTTATTTTTTTCTTTTTGATTCTGACATCTTTTATTGTGTTTCTACATTTTTATTTTTGTGCTCATTTTATTGTTTTCTGTTTTAGATAATCATTTATGTTGACTAATCTGATATTGGATAGTACTGTTAGCTTAACCTGTTGCAAAAATGGCAACGTTGTTACCTCTTCTAAAGAATTATCTGTTTATCCAAAGGTCTGGGACCATTGTACGGGATCATTAATATACAGTTCATCTGTGTTATCAGGTAAATTTAAAACTCTCATGTTTCCTATGAGTAGGCTGTGTGTAACCCACTGTTTCTAGAGCATGTTTCAGGGCATAAGATGGAGCCGTGACATTCAAGTGGATCTGAATGAGGCAATCTCAGACTTACAGCCCTTCACTCCCGTTCACACAGGGAGAGGATTCACTTAACAGTGAATGTCCTTGACGTTTTTCACTTAAAATTAAATGTAAGCTTGGAGTCTGGGCCTTTTTGTTTTGGAAGAGTAAAGCACGTTTGCTGTCAGATAAAATGCCTGAGCCCCCATGGAAGGCGAACCCTCTGCTCTCTGTAGAAACAAGTCCCAGAACCAGCGGTGTTGGTAGGGCCAGGACTGCCCTGCCCATCCAGCATGTGCGTGGGCGTGTACCACACCCTGGCCTCGTGGTCAGGTACTGAGCACGTGTGCAGCTCATGAATGCCAGGGTCCTTGCATTCTTCCCTCAGATGGCTTTTTGTTGGTAAACGAAGCTGGCACACGGCCACACAGACGCAGCATTGATGGTGCAGGTGTCCGTGGAGCACGGCACGAGGAGCGGCCTGTGACGCCCCCGCACCTCTCCCGTGCAGCCCCTGTGCTTGTCCTCCTGGCGCCTCAGGGCACTGGTTTCCTGCGTTCGCTTTGCTCCTCTTTTGCATGTTCTGTCTTTCCGGAAGAAGAGAGTTAGGGAATTAAAAGGAGAGCATTCTTTCGTGGGGTAAGTGACATGAAAATGCCACTTAAAGCATATACATATACTTTGGTGACCTGGTAGAGTTATTGTTATATCTTCTCAAAGATTTAACATTCTTTCTGAGGTTAGTGTATCCACGTGTAGACTGTGGTGCTGTAATGACTTGAAAACATTGCTTTCTTTCAAAGTGAAGTACATTTCTTGGAAGTACGTTGGAATCTTTTTTTCTGAAATTAATTATACGGAATTACTATTTGGTTGCCAAGTACTTGATCTTTGATTTCGTTCATAGTTTGATTAGGACGTGTAGCATTTTTCAATATTCATTTATCTAATTCTCCTAAAGTATTGACAGTTTAGAGTAAATTTTCAATGAAACGACATCCTAGGCAACAATTTTTTTTTCCCAAGAAAACAAGGCATCCATTTGATTGCTATTTTCATCACTAAGGGTAATTTTATTATTTCTGGCTGACTCAGGAATCCTTCTGCCCCAGGTGCAATGTTGATTGAACACCAGTGCTGCCCTCCCTCCAGGCTATAAAGCAGCCAGAGCTGGGCCATGGTTTAAGCCCACCCGGCCCTCTGTCGGGCAGGTGGGATGGGATTCCTTGGGACCCATCTGAGGCAGACTCCCCGGGCGTCCTTTCGGGGTGACGTCCTCAGCCTTCCTTGTGCTCTTGAGGTTTTCAACATTTGTATTCACGTACAATTTTTGCTTTTTGGTGAAGAAATTATTTTGCAATAGTTCAAACTTGACTAACAGAAATACTGTAACTAAATATTATGTGTAAAGAGATAAGTAAAACTGATCGTTCTCGGCTTACCTGGTACCAGGCACTTATAAAGCTAAATTTTCCAATGTTGCTTTCACCAGCATATCCTCTTCTCAGCTTGTTCATCGATGCAGAAAGCAGGCAGCTGGTCACTGGGTGTGCTGACGGCCAGGTGAGACAGCCACAGAGTGAAGTTCCAGTTCCCAGACATTCCTGTACGTGAGCATGTACACAGGGGTCTTCGTCTTCATGCTGCTTTGTATTTTCCTGTGATTTGAAAAAACCTGTCCACCTCAGTGCTGAGAATGTGACCTTCTGTGGGTCTCAGCATCACGGCGGGTTCAGTATGGCCCTGGGCCCCCTGGTCTGCGGAGGAGCTGGGTCTGCATGTCCCGGAGCTCCATGCATGGTTCTGGAGTGCCGCTAAAGTGAGGGCCACTCACGTGACCTTTAAAACCTGATGAGAAGAGGGCTGTGAGCAGACATCCCACGCACGCTGCCTGCGCCCCGGAGAGGCTCCCTGGATGGCTCCTCTGGTGGCATCCCCAGTGCTCCTTGTGCTCCTGTTTCCTGTCAGCTTTACACACTATTGAAAAACCTGAAGATATTGGTCTTTTTCAAAACATTTTTTTAGGTGAGCATTTTAAGTTCATTTCACATGAAGACTTAAATTTTTTTTTTTCCCTTTTGACAAAGTTAACCACTATTGCCCTTGTCTTCTCACCCAGGGCATGTGGGACGTGCTCTTGGCTGTGAAGCTCTGGGGTATGTGCAGAGAGCCTGGCGCCTGGGGTTCCCGGAGGAGCTGTGGGGTGTGTGCAGAGAGCCTGGCGCCCGGGGATCCCAGAGGAGCTGTGGGATGTGTGCAGAGAGCCTGGCGCCCGGGGGTCCCGGAGGAGCTGTAGGATGTGTGCAGAGCCTGGCGCCCGGGGTCCCGGAGGAGCTGTAGGATGTGTGCAGAGAGCCTGACGCCCAGGGTCCTGGAGGAGGAGCATCTTGGGGAGGCCTGCACAATAGGATCGAGGAGCTGTGGGATGTGTGCAGAGAGCCTGGCGCCCGGGGGTCCCGGAGGAGCTGTGGGATGTGTGCAGAGAGCCTGACGCCCAGGGGTCCTGGAGGAGCATCTTGGGGAGGCCTGCACAATAGGATCCTGCCTGTGTGCTCTGAGCTGATGTGCCAGCCGTGCGAAAGTGCTCTGACACCGTGGGCGTGGGCTGTAAGGAGGGCCTCCAGGGTGGATGTGGAAGGCAGGAGAGAGCTGTGCTGGGAGCCTCTGCAGGCTGTGGAGGGAATTTCCTGTGGCGTGTCTGTCCTCACTGCTCCTCCTCTGGTGTTGCTGCTTCTGTGTAAGGACCTTTGCTGCAGCATCGTGGCTGCATGTTCTTTGCTTTTGTAGCTTTGGATCTTCAGTTTGATGGATGAACACCACTATCGTCGTGTGGCACGGGTTGACCTAAGGAAGAAGACAGAGACTTTCTCCACGAGAAGGCTGAAGTCTGGGCTGTGCAGTCGGCCAGGTGGGTTGCTCAGACCTCCCTCAGGCCTCCCAATTGGCTCAGTCTTTCACCAGGTGCCGTGTCGAGGGCCGTAGGTCACACAGAGGGGAGAGAGAGGTGCCAATGTAGGAGAAGCCGATGGCCGCAACCTCAGAAAACCACTGAGGCCCTGCAGGTCATGTGAGGGGTGGGCCATCAGCAGACGGAGGCACCTGGTGTGTGTGGGGACAAGGGTGAGGGGCTTCGGTGAACAGAAGAGCAGAGGCCCCACGGCAGCAGCTGCGCGGCTGTGGGTTACTTTCCTGCAGTGGGCGACCAAGGAGGGCAGGTCATGCTGATCAGAAAAGTACATTGCATGACCCAGATGCCACCTGCACCTACCCAGGACCCTCCACGTCCCCACCTGGCCTGTGAATCTCAGACGCCACCTGCACCCGCCCCGCACCCTCGTCCTCACCTCACCTCCTGCTGTCCAGAGTTGCTTCCTGTTGACCACAGCTCACTTCTGTGTGCTTTTTATCTCCTGTACTGTCACAAAGGAGCTGACCCTCTCCCGGAAGAAAATGTTGATTTTACTTTTCAATCCAGGGACCACTTCTTTCATTGGTGTGTGCAGCTGATGTTGCGTATTGCAGCAATCATCCCTGTGCTCACAGCCTACACTCTTCCTCACTCTGGTTACTCCTTCTTTCTTTTAGGTTGTGTTTTTTTGTAGATGACTTTAAGCTATTTTTTTCATATTAGGTCTGAAATTACCTTTATCCAGTACATCAGTTTTTTCCTAACGTTTTAAACCTTCGTTTTTGTTATTTATTTGATAAGTAATTGTCTACTACTGAAGCAAATCTTAAGCTTAGTTTTAGCAAATATGAAGTTAAATTCTTTCAGTTAATCATCTCCTCTTTCCCACTCCCTTGCTCTGGTTCCGTTGCTTCGTCCTAGGCAGCATGCTGCTGGGTGTTACCTTAGTGCTTTCCTCCACGCGTGATCCGAGTGACTCCGCGGTGCACACGCGCCATGCTGGGTGTTACCCTAGTGCTTTCCTCAACGCGTGATCCGAGTGACTCCGCGGTGCACATGCGTCACGCTGGGTGTTACCCTAGTGCTTTCCTCGACACGTGATCCGAGTGACTCCGCGGTGCACACGTTTCATGCTGGGTGTTACCCTAGTGCTTTCCTCGACGCGTGATCCGAGTGACTCCACGGTGCACACGTTTCATGCTGGGTGTTACCCTAGTGCTTTCCTCCACGCGTGATCAGAGTGACTCCGCGGTGCACATGCGTCATGCTGGGTGTTACTCTAGTGCTTTCCTCGACACGTGATCCGAGTGACTCCGCGGTGCACATTCACTGCAGCGTCTCTGTGTGGCAGTCCTCAGCCTTTAAACCTGACGAATGCATTTAAGTTCACTTCTCAGATTGTCGATAATTCTGTTCCCTAGAAGAAAGCCAGCTTCCCTCTACAAGTGTTCTGGGAGAAGGAGAGCAGGTTGAAGTAACGTTTCCTGTACTGAGACTCGCACCCTGCCATGTGTCACTCGTCCCAAATTCTGCATGTGGATGGTGAGCATCAGAAACTTGGCCTGTGCCATATAAAGGAAACTCTTAAATTCCTTAGAGGAACATTAAGCTCATTTTCTAAGAATGACTGAAATAAAACCAAATTATATTTGTCTCTGATCATTACTAACCTCATTCTTGGGATTGCATGTTTTAAACCTTAAAGTTGGTAAACTTGGGCAATGATATTTAAGTATCTTTAAAAAAGGAATTGGAGGATTTTTAAGCTTATTACCAAAGTCTAGGCAGATCTTTGCCTCTGTGATATGACTTTTTCTTTAGAAAGAGGAAGTGGTGATCAGAATGGCCTAGACTTTCCCATCTACCACTGTGCTGTACTTTACACATTTAAAGTTAACCTCAGACAGATTTTATTTATTTCTGTGCGCAGTAGAAATCTTATACATATTTGGCAACGTAAGGAAGTACTGTTTAACTGTGATTAAAGAATGTATTACAATTACGTTTACCTCTCCTCCGCAAAATGCTTGAGATTAGGGGGCAACCTTGCTTTGAATGGCCTTGGCCATTGCTTGTCTGTGTCTCTGTGCAGAGCTGCCCCTGGAGCAGAACATTCCCTGCTTGGTCCAAACCACAGAGAGGAAGCAGGGTGGGCGTGGAGGCTGGGTGCTGTGCTCCCGGCAGGTGCATGGACCTTAGGCACTTTGAGGCTTCCCTGTCTTACCTAGAGCAGAGGGATCCCTCAGAGCTACGCCAGAGCCACACGACCCGTTGTGTTGACGATAGTCGTTGGGTGAACCGCGGACTGGTGCTGGTGGATGCCCAGGAGGTGCCCAGGGCACTGCCTGTGGCGGAGCTGGAGAGAGGGGGAGGTCTGGAAAACAGGTTCCAGCTGGGGGCCTCTGCCAAGTCCACGTCTGGGTGTTACCCCCGTGCTTTCCTCGACACATGATCGAGGTGGCCTCTCAGTGCATTAACAGACCCTGTTGGCAGTGGTATTAACTCTGCCGCCTCGGGCCAGCTACTTTCCTCCTGGAGTTGGTTCCTCATTCCCAGGGGTGGGCAGCTTGCGTGGCCTTCAAGTCTAGTCACTCGGAGACTACCTGAGCAGTGGCCTTGGCCCAGGCGCTGGCACCAACCTTTTCTGTAACCTTAGAAGAAAATAGAAACCACAGAGGTCAGAGCGAGCGTCTTCACAGACATTAGCAGGTGCCCAGGGGACCCACCAGAGGCTGAAATGCCAGCCTGGCACAGATGTGGTTCTCACTGGCAAGAACCTGTCCCGGCCCACGCTGCCCACTCCTGCGGGGAGCTCACAGCCAGGCGAGGGGGCCGGTGTGGGGCCCAGCCTTCAGGAATAAGATTAGTGTGTATTCTTTACTTTTTTTCCTTAAATCAGTCTTTCTTCTGAGAACACCCAATGCATATGGATTGGAAGTTCGGTGGGCTTATTCATATTTAACCTGGCAAACCTGGAAGTGGAAGCTGCTTTATATTACAGGGGTAAGGTCTTTGGTGTAAGTGCCACGTAACTGTAATGTTATCCTTTGACTGGTATGTGGGGTGGTGAAAATGTTTGTGGAGAAGGCGTCGCCTTGTGAATCTGAGGATGAGATGCTTCAGTCACAACTCAGTATTGGGGATGTGAGGACCTCTGTGCTGCTGGAACTGAAGGACAAGGGCCCTTCCCAGACCCTTGGGCACTCAGCCCTGGAGCCGTTCCTTCCCTCCGTCCACCAGGCCCTCGCTTGGCACTCCCGGCTGCCCGGGCCTCAGCGGTGTGGAACACCCACAGGAACACCCTTGGGAAACCCCTGGATTCTCCACCATTCCTAGAGAGCCTCCCGGAGCCCCAGGCTCGTACAGCATAAACCTGGGCGAGGCACTCTCCTCTCCAACCCTGGTTCCCTTCTCCAGTTTCCGCCACCCCCAGAAATGTAGGAATAGTCACCTCTATCCCCATCCCCCACCAGAAATGTAGGAACAGTCACCTCCACCTCCACCCCCATCCCCCACCTTATCCCCCTCCCCCAAGACCCCCATCTCATCCCCTGACCCCAGTGGTTCCCACCTGTCCTCTCCTGGCTCTGTGGCTGCCACCAGCTGCACCCTTTCTGCTCAGGAGCCCAGGCGACTTCTGAAAAGCAGGCTGGATTCTGTCCCTCTCCTCCGCTGCAGCGGGGCGTCCTCAGTGGCCTCCCAGGCGCTGCTCCTCTCGGTGCCTCCTTTCCAGCCCTGAATGCTCAGACCTCTGTGGGGCTGCGGGATCTATCTGTGTCTTCATGCGCCCCCTTCCCTTCAGCTGCCCATCCCTGCCCCTCCTCAGCTCAGCCAGGCATGGCTTCTCCTTGAAAACTCAGCCTTTCCTTCCGCCAAATGGTCACAGCTCTGATGACACATTTCCTTTCTGATCTGGTGCTGGACATGTGGCTTCTCCAGGAGGCTGAGCTGCAGGTCCCAGTCCGAGTCGTGGCCCGGCCTCAGAGTGGGGCCTGGCATGTGTGAGGCTCAGGGCCTGGTGTGTGTGCGGCCTGGGGCCTTGTATGTGTGAATATGTGGTGCCCAGCCTGCAATGTGTGTGGCGGGGCCTGGGCAGTGACTCCTTGTGTGTGTGCTCCCTCCCTCCCCATCATGTTCTTCCTGGTCTTTGCTGAACTGAAGACTTCCAGAGCCTCAGCATCCCACTGGCCGGATCGTGTGCCCTGAGGAACCGCACCGCGGATCGCAAGGTCAGTCCTGAGATGCAGCCCTCCCTGTCTGTGAGACGTGCTGATCTGTGCCCCCAATTTCTCCTTTCTTTGGAGTGATCCTGTAACGACTGGCTGAGTAAATGGGGTTTTGTGTGTGAAAACGTTTTAGGAGTGGTGGGGCAATGTTGTTGCTGCTGTGAGAATGAAGCAAAAGGATATGTGTGCAGATGCACATTTAGTCTGCTTTTACTGGGCAGTGTCGCTAACGATGTTGAAACTATGTCCCTGCAGACGCTGTGCTTGCTAGCCTCCCTCTTTGGCGGGAAGATTGCCGTGTTGGAGATCGACCCGGCCGCGCTGGTCAGGGCTCAGCAGTGCCCCGGCCTGAGGCAGAGCCTCTCGGTGCCAGCCAGGTAGAGTGTCTTCAAGTGTGGAGTGTGTGTGCGTGTTCACCCAGTAAGCAGCATTTGGATTTCTTTCTATGTTCAGAAATAAAGTTTAGGAAACTCTGAGCTCTACCAACACTGTTTGGAAGAAACATTTTTTCATGCTGTTGCTTCTGTCTTGTTGAAATAGTGGATAGTTTATTTTAATTGAAACACTATTTTATTTTAGAACAGGATGTACATTATAAAGCAGCACTGTTATTAAGAATATATTAATTTTTTCCTACAAGGATAAGAATACACTTGACAGTTTTCATTTTCAAAGACTGTTATGTCCATAGCTGCGTGAATTAGTCATTCGTAACTGTCTTTAAAGTGTGTGTCTGAAACATTTCTATCATATTGTTGTTTGCGCTCCCAGTTTCATGTGGCTTGTATCTGTTTCAGCTCCTGTGTCCTGCCAGCCTCTCCACTGTATCTGGGAATTGCCAAGGAGAAGAGCACCAAGGCTGCTAGTGAACGGCGATGTGGTCAGTACAGGCTGCTATGAAATCTAAGAATACAAGGCCGATGCGCTCTCATTGTGGTTAGGGCTGCTGCATTGTTTTGCGAATTCCTGTTCGTTAAAATACGCATTCGGGGTACTTCCTTCCATCCTTCCCTCCTTCGTGGCTCTGCCTCTTACGTGTTTGTTCTGTGTCAGCTGTGGTGGGGAACATGCTGGGTGCTTCCCCTCCTGAACTGGCTGTCACTCATGGGATTCAGCAACGTGCCCAAGACTGACCGCTGTTCCTCTGGTGCCTGGTGCGGTGGGGGTGCAGAGTGGACCTTCAACAATGACTGACCGTGAGAACGTTTGTTCCCCTTTTTTCTCTGCTGAGGAATTTGAAAGCAAATCCTGAGCGTGTGATTGTACTCCTGCACACTTCAGTGTGCCTTTCTGGAACATGAATGTTTTTACCTAGCCACCATGACATTATATCGAAACCGGTAATTTTTTGGAATCTTGTATTAGCAAGGCCATAATAAATTATTCTTGATTGCCTTGACAGTATTTTCTGTTGGTTTGTTCTGAGCAGCAGCCAAACAAATCCACATGTTGCATCTCTCAAATATGTAAAAATTAACTTCTACTTTAAGATGGTAAACTTCATTATGTTCCATTTATTTCAAGGCTCACTGATAATTACTTCTTTTTTCCCTTCAGTGACCAGTCTAACCCTTTAATCTGTCTTGTGAAACCTCCTGCTGGACCTCATTCAAAAAACGAAGGCATTCCCGCAACCCCCTTTCACCTTCTGCCCTGTAGGTCCCTGACTGCTGGGACTCACTTCCCAGAAGGGCCTTCTCCCCGGCCAGCAACCTGGCAGCCCCACCCTCCGGCCTCTCCCCAGGCTGGGCTGGGCTGAGCTGGGCTGGGCTGGGCTAGGCTAGGGTTCCTCTCCCGGGGCTGGGCTGGACTGTGATGCCACCCTCGGGCCTCTCCCCAGGCTGGGCTGGGCTGGGCTGGGCTAGGGTTCCTCTAGGTTCTCTCCCGGGCTGGGCTGGGCCATGATGCCACCCTCGGGCCTCTCTGGGCTGAGCCCAGGCTGGGCTGAGGCTGAGTTCCTCTCCCCGAGCACAGGCTGGGCTGTGATGCCACCCGCTTGAGCTCTCCCCTCTGGGCTACAGGTGACTGGGCTGTGATGCCACCCTCAGAGCCTCCCCAGGCGCTGGAGCTGGGCTGGGCTGAGCCCCAGGGTTCCTCTCCCCGGGCTGGGCTGGGCTGTGATGCCACCCTCGCGGGCCTCTCCCAGGCTGGGCTGGGCTGGGCTGAGTGCACACCCGGGCCTCTCCCGGGCTAGGCTGGGCTGGCATTGCACCTCGGGCCTCTCGGGCTGGGCTGGGCTGGGTTCCTGCATCAGGCGTGTCTGCCAGACTGCCTCCCATGGGAACCGTCCTCAGACATGGGCTGTGTCCTTCATGCTCCCCGTAGCTGGCCCTTGAAGCTTGACTTCTGGGAATTCTGGCCTCTTAGTCACTTCCCTCCAGACTTTTTGAGACCAGGCCTTGAACACCCAGCCTTCCAGTGCCTGTGAGCTCTCACTGACTGTGGTTCTGACCGCCTTGCGAGATCAAGGAGGAGCCATTTTCAGGTGGAAGGCTGGGACTGGGGCTTGAGCCTGGGCTGGAGCTGTTTGCTTGTTCCGCTCACTGACTGTGGTTCTGACCCGCCTTGCGGATCAGGGAGGGCCATTTTCAGGTGGAAGGCTGGGACTCAGAACTGAGCCTGGGGCTGGAGCTGTTTGCTTGTTCCGTCCTGTCATGGGGGTCCCTGCTGCTGGGGGTTTCCGACGGGTCCCCCATTCCTCGGCCCTATTTCCACAAAAGACCCACTGTCAGGGTTAAGGGTCCATCTCCTGCCGGTTTATGCTTTATGCTCTGCTGCCGTCCCATCACCATGGGGACCGTTCTGAGAAATTGTGAGAATGAAGGCCTGGGGAAGGCGGCCAGGCGTCGCAGCCTCTGGGCCAAGCTGACTCCTCAGCTGGGAGCGGCCTGTGACCTCCTTCCTCCTCATTAAGTCATGGAACTTCTGCCTTGTAAGGAGGTGCTAATTATTCACCATTGAAAAGGCATCTTAAATTGCAAAAGGTACTACAGCAGAGAAGACAGCAGCAGGTGGGTGTGAAGATGGCTGAGAAGAGAATGCCCCTGGGCCGCTGTGGGCCTAAGATTTGCCCGAGCTGTCTCCTCCTCCTGGGCCCTCCTGGCCTCCTTGTTGCCCTTCTGGGCCTTCCTGGCCTCCTTGTCCTGGGCCCTCCTGACCTCCTCCTTGCCCTCTTGGGCCCTCCAGGCCTCCTCACACAGTCCCTCCCGGCCTCCTCGTTCTCAGCCCTCCCTTAACCTCCTCGTCTTCCTGGACCCCGCAAGCCTCCTCACATGCTTTCCCCCCACCCTTGCTGGTCTGTCTTGGCCCTGTCAGTCTTGCATCCTGTCAGTCTTGCCTCCTGCCATTCATCCTTAACAATTGACAGCAGCAGGAGTCAGAGAAATCCCCAAGCAGACACAGGCGAGTCCCCAGGGAAACTCGACCTCCAAACCAAAGACGGTTCACGTCTGAAAGCCGAACCACATGTCTCAGATAAATCCGTAGACCGGATTGAGAACCTCTTTTCCTGTTTGGTGCGCTTTCCTCTGATTGGCCCTATTTTACATATACCCACTCTTCCCTAATTGGTTTTTGACACCGCTGTGCCCATCTTTGAGTCGTGCCTTTTTTTTTAGCCTTTTTTGCATAGTCACAAACCAATCAACATGCACTCCCCCATTCTGAGTCCACAAAAGCCCCAACTTCAGCCACACTGGGGGACCACCTGACTGAGGGTAGGGGCCCTGACTGAGGGTAGGGGCTGCCCTCTCCGCGTCCCCTCTCTGCTGAGAGTTGTCACTCAATAAAACTCACCAGCCGGGCCTGGTGGCTCACGCCTGTAATCCCTGCACTTTGGGAGGCTGAGGTGGGTGGTCCACAAGGTCAAGAGATGGAGACCAGCCTGGCCAACATAGTGAAACACCATCTCTACTAAAGATATAAAAATTAGCTGAGCGTGGTGGCAGGCACCTAATGTCCCAGCTACTCAGGAGGCTGAGGCCGAGAATTGTTTGAACCCAGGAGGTGGAGGTTGCAGTGAGCTGAGATTGTGCCATTGCACTCCAACCTGGGCGACAGAGCAAGACTCCGTCTCAAACAAAACAAAACAAAACAAAACTCCGCCCTGCTCCCGCTTCGGTTGTCAGGGTGACCTGTTTTTCCTGGACGCAGGGCAGGGACCCAGGACTCACCAAATGCGGGTATGAAAAATGCTGTAATGCGGCAGCCCTCCACCTTCCTCCCTCAGCCCGCGCTGGGCAGCCGCCACACGTGACAGGAAACAGCAGTGGGGCCGGGCCAGCCCCAGAGGTGCAGGGTGGGGCAGTGGGACCGAATGAGCCTCACACAAGCAGGCCGAGTAGGCAGGTACCTCCTGCAGAGAACCGGGGGCAAGGGAGGCCCAGGCAGGGGCATCGCCAGCCTTGGGGGTCTCCAGCTGGCAAAGAGGCACCGAGAAATCCTTCACAATGACTCCTCCCCGTGTCTCATCTGGGGCTGTTGATACGTAGAGTAATATTCTTTCTTAAGTATATTCTTTTGTGATTTGTCTTTCTCACTTCCTGTCTGTGAGATTTTCCGTTGCTGTACAGCATTCTGTTGCCTGGATATACTGCGGTTTATGTACCCACAATTTATTCAGTATTAACAGCCGTTTGGCTTGTCCCAGGCTGTTGCTGTTGTGAGCAATCTTTGCAGCACCTGCTGTACCTGCTCTACCCTGCTGTACCTGCTGTACCTGCTGTACCTGGTGCACCTGCTGCACCTGCTGTACCTGCTGTACCTGCTGTACCTGCTGTACCTGCTGCACCCTGCTGCACATGCTGTACCTTGCTGTACCCTGCTGTACCCTGCTGTACCCTGCTGCACCTGCTGTACCTGCTGCACCTGCTGTACCTGCTGCACCTGCTGTACGCTGCTGTACCCTGCTGTACCCTGCTGTACCTGCTGTACCTGGTGCACCTGCTGCACCTGCTGTACCTGCTGTACCTGCTGTACCTGCTGTACCTGCTGCACCCTGCTGCACATGCTGTACCTTGCTGTACCCTGCTGTACCCTGCTGTACCCTGCTGTACCTGCTGTACCTGCTGCACCTGGTGCACCTGCTGTACCTGCTGCACCTGCTGTACCTGCTGTACCTGCTGTACCTGCTGTACCTGCTGTACCTGCTGCACCTGCTGTACCTGCTGCACCTGCTGCACCTGCTGTACCTGCTGTACCTGCTGTACCTGCTGCACCTGCTGCACCTGCTGTACCCTGCTGCACCCTGCTGTACCTGCTGCACCTGCTGTACCTGCTGTACCTGCTGTACCTGCTGCACCCTGCTGCACCCTGCTGCACCTGCTGCACCTGCTGTACCCTGCTGTACCCTGCTGTACCCTGCTGTACCTGCGGTACCTGCTGCACCCTGCTGCACCTGCTGTACCCTGCTGCACCCTGCTGTACCCTGCTGTACCCTGCTGTACCTGCTGCACCTGCTGTACCCTGCTGTACCCTGCTGTACCTGCTGCACCCTGCTGTACCCTGCTGCACCTGCTGCACCCTGCTGCACCTGCTGTACCTGCTGCACCCTGCTGCACCCTGCTGCACCCTGCTGTACCCTGGAGCCGGGAGGACTGCCCCAATGTCTGTGGGGGCAGCTGCTGGGCTCAGGGTGAAGGTTCCCCATGTGGCAGATCGATGGCAGGCGATGGTGAAGGTCTTCCCAGGTGGCTGGCCAGCAGCTACTCCAGCAGTACATGCTACTCTCTTGCCCTGAGCTCTTGCCATGGCTGTATGCTGCTGGATGCTGGAATTTCTGCTCACCCAGTGTGAGACAAGAATAGCACTGGGTGGTCGCAGGAGGACGGAAAACCCAGGCAACAGCGAAGACAGGAATGTGGCAAAGTAACCACAGGATGGCAGAAAACCCAAAGCAAGGGAGGGAGAGAGAAGGCAAACCCACCAGCGTGATGTGTCCTCTATTCTCCCGGGAAAACGCGAATAAGGGAGACCGAGGCTGTGGTGGGGGCTTAGTTAAAATCCCCTCCTTTCCCAGAATACCTGATGATGATCCTGCCCTCTCATTAAAGAAACACCCGTATAATGAGGAACACAGACTCCTCTGCACACCTCCCTCTGAGTGCGCCTCCTGAGCTCGCCTCCTTCTCCTGGGCGGGCCTTCTCCTGAGCTCGCCTCCTTCTCTTGAGCTCGCCTCCTTCTCTTGAGCTCACCTGGCTTCTCATTTAGGCGTGTGCTTTCACTTTGCAGCAAAAGCTGCTGCTTTTCCTATCTAAATTTTTGCTCTGAAGTGCCAAGAACCTGGAAACCGGCTGGGGGTGGTGTCTTACCAACCTTTGGAGACCTTCCTGAGTCGTTTGGCAACCAGTGACAATACAGAGGTGTCTTTTGATTTTGTTTGCGTTTTCCTGGTTAAACATGAGGCGGTTATTGCGTGTGTTTCATCAGCTACGTTTTGCTGTCATAAACCTAATTAGCATTTATTATCTCTTCGCTATTATTTTGTACAGGATCCTTTGGATTCATGTTCTCACGTGATTGATTTCTCAGGAACTTCCTGAGTTTGGTTTTGGTGTGCCAGCTCCACAGAATGAGCTGGGAAGAGCTTTCTCTGTTTCTGTACCTAAATGGTTGGTGTAGAATTTTAAATTAGGTGTATGATTGATTTTGAGTATAAAACCAGCCTTGTGTGTCAGGGATAAATCCCAGGATGTGTAGTCTTCTTGTTGTGTTGTTGAATTCGGTTTGCTAATATTTTGTTGAGGATTTTTGCATCAATTTTCATTAGAGAAATGGGCCTTTAGTTTTCTGTTTGTTTTTTTCTGTTTTGTTTGCTTTTGTATTTGTTTTTTGGAACTGAATGAAGTGCAGTGTGTTCCCCTAAAGGAGATTTGCGTTGCTTTCTAGGGGTTTGGGTTGCACAAATCCACAGCTTCCGGCCTTTCAAGCCACTTGTCAAGGTCACTCTGACTGCAGGGCCATCAGCCTGAGACCAGTACAGACCATCACGGCACAGGCTTCCTGGGCCAGTCGGAGAAGGTGAAGCTCGCGTAGTGGCCGAGGACTTGGCCTTTCTGCCCTCACCTCCCTGAGGCCACACAAATCCTCAGCCTGCGTGGCTGGAGTTGAAGCCATCCACAGCTCACCTCAGTTTCGATATCTTGTCCTCATTTTCTTTCCCCTTTTAATACAATGAAGCACATATTTCTTCTGGCATTTGTGGTTTTTCTCTGTGGGAGAGGCCATCTGAATACCTAACCAGTGTGTTATACAGATAATGAACGTCAGCATTCACCTTTTAAATAGCAGCACCCTCAAAAAATTGAAAAAAGCCTATGTAGTAATGATGCTAATGAAGAATTGAAAGTGTTTATTAGGTAAATAATATGGTTTTATACATTATTTATGTGGTAAAGAGTCTGTTTTTCATAGTCTTTCAAAAGACTTTCTGTTCGTTTACTTTTTTTCATTTAAGATATATATAACATAAAACTTACCATTTTAGCCATTTTTAGGTGTATGGTTCAGTGGCATTCCTTACCTTTTCGTTGTTGTGCAATGTAAAAAAACCTTTTTGAACCATTTGCTTAATTAATAACAGAGGAATTTTATATGTATATGTATATTTCTAGTAAAAAATGTTTGGAAAAACTTGACTAACCAATATTAATTAAAATGGCTAATAGTTGGAATCATACTAGACTGTTCAGGTGGTTTTCCAAAGCTCTGTTTCCATGGAAAGAAACTCCCCTGTGAGAGTGGGCTCCACACTGAGTGGTGAGCAGTGCCTCCCGTGTGTCCATCACACGGGGTCCGTCACGCGGGTCCGTCACACGGTGTCTGTCACACGGGGTCCGTCACATGGGATCTGCTCGTCGTGTCTGCCGCCTGGGACGGCTGTGCGTTTGGGAAGTGAGATCTGTGCACACAGTCTGTTGTGAAGGAGACACGAGTCTCATGATTTCACCTTTAAAACTTACTGTGTTTGTTTCCTTAGCTTTTCTTCTTACCTATGCTTCATTTAGATCACTCCTTAAAAGTGGAGTTTTTAGACTTTTTGTCAACATGGGTCATCTTGTTTCAGACGAGCATATATGATGTACTGTGGTTCACAACTAACGATAGCATTTACAGTTTAGAACAAAACCTTCAGTAAGAACAATTATATAAATAGTTTTAATACAGAGATGACTTTTCTGTAGCAAGAAAGTGATGAAGTTTTAACATGTTGATGTTTTGTGTGTAGTTTAGAAAATATTCCCGTGGAAAATTAATGGATATGTTTCATTTACAGTAATGCTATAATCCCAAAATTTGCCTTCCTCTACTTACAACACTATAACAAAGATAATATAAACAGAATATATGTAGTAGATGAGGAACTATTATATTTTAATGCTTAGAGCATTTGTAACACTAATATGCAGTTATGTATTTATAAACCTTATTCTAGGACTTTTAAGACTTTCTCATAATGAAGTGTACTACTAATGTGCCCATAACTTTATCATTTTATCCTGAAATGATTTTCCTTTTGGTGATATTTGATTATTTTCTGGAGAAGGTTTTTTCTCCTCTCCTGACTGTGGATTGGACAGTGCAGTTTCGTGGCTTCTCCTGGGAGCAGTTACTTTTCTAGCGCCCTCTAAGGGTTCCTTTGGGGTCCCAGCTGTGTGTGGCGTCTGCCTTTCCCTTGGAAACCTCTTCCCCTCCAGGTCCGGCTTCGCCCTCTGCAAGCCTGTGAGGTTGGTGGAGCCCAGGCCCAGGGAGGAGACCTGGCTTACAGATTCCTGGTCACCTCCTGGACTCTGATTTGCACAGTGAGACGTCCATAATATTAAGTTAATACTCTCTTAGGGCCACTTGATTCTTAATGGGAATGTGATTAGGTTTTCCTGTATAACATAGTGCCAGAAACAGAACTGAATTTCTTTGTTTTTAAAAAGAATAACTTTTTTTAGAATTTTTCAGTATTATGCAAATATCCATTTTTCTAAAGCTGTTTTATAATATTGTACAGACTATTCATATTGAACACCAGCTATTAAATTTATGCAAAAATAAATAGTTCTGGCAAAACTATATTTGATCTGAAAACATTTTTTTGATTTGTAAATATTTGTGGTAAGTTCACGTGGTGTCAGAGTTTTTGTCAATTGGTAGTGCTATGCAAAATGTAAAATAGGCTAGGCTGGGCACAGTGGCTTACGCCTGTAATCCCAGCACTTTGGGAGGCCGAGGCGGGCGGATCATGAGGCCTGGAGATCAAGACCATCCTGACCAACATGGTGAAACCCCCTCTCTACTACAAATGCAAAAATTAGCCGGGTGTGGTGGTGGACACCTGTAATCCCAGCTACTCAGGGGACTGAGGCAGGAGAATCGCTTGAACATGGGAGGTGGAGGTTTCGGTGAGCCGAGCTCGCACCACTGCACTCCAGCCTGAGTGATAAAGCGAGACTCCATCTCCAAAAAGAAAAACGAAAACAAAACAACGCAACAACAAAACAACCAACTTGGGCTGTTTTCTTATCCTTTTAACCCCTTGATTTAATCTTTGGCTGATGATGGTTGGTGTGACTTCAGATATGAAACCTCTTACATTTATGGTCAGAAATTCATTCTGTTTTGAAGAGGCTCTGTTCTTCTCATGTCCATCCTGAGATGCTAATTTTAAGTGTTTGTTTCTTCTTTAAAATTGCCTTTCCACAGCTGCACAGAGCGTCATGAAGGACCAGCGCCTGGTTTTCCACAGTAAGGTCAGATCATCTGGTTATGCGTCAGCACCACAGTGAGTAAACTCATGTCAGTGAGAGACAGAAATGTACCTGCGTCACAGATGCGGGACTTTAACACAGTAGGGACACACATACATCCCCGAGGGTCACGGCATGGAGAGAGGACATAGCAATAGAAACAGAAGTTAAAATGTGGTGGGTTGGACCCCAGCATGCCAGTTAGCAGCAGCTGCAGCAGCAAATGTTTCCTGAGCACTAACTGTGTGCTGGGTCTCAGAGCAGCCCTCCGTGTCCTTTTCTGATAACGTGGTGGTCCCGGGAGGTGAGAGGAAGCTGGTGGGCTCTGGGGCTGGGAGAGCAGGACGATGCTGTAAACAAACACGGCCCATCAAGGCCAGACACAATGTTCTTCTTAGAACATAACTTTGCTGTAACATCAGAGCACAATAACAGAGTGCATTTAGGCCCTGAGTTAGCAAGACTGCTCCAAGGCAAGGAGATACGAAGCAGCCAAGAAACCACGGGGTGGCCTTGAGATTTCCTAAACTTTCACAAGCCCACTCCTGAAAGGCAAATATGACTTTTCTAAAGAAAATGCAGACATATACCCCGCCTCCTACCTCACCTCTTGACCTTTTATGTCTCTTAACATAGTGGCCAAAATGACTCTGTTACCTGGAGTCCCTGTCCTCAGTGCACACACTCATCTCCCTGGTTGGTGCTCACCTCTACCAAGCTCCCCGCTTCATGTTCCCCTGGCTACTCCCTGACTCCCACCCTGCCCCCTGGCACTGCTGTGCTCCAGGCAGAAATCCCAGGCCACTGCGTAAACACAGCCTCCAACCCTCCAAGCTCTTCCCTGCTCTGCTTGTTCTCTTTGGCTTGAACAATGGTGACTGTGTCTTCTTAGCTGTTCTTTAAATCCCTGTGTCTGGGACAGCACTCAGCACCCTGGACCCTCATAAGGCACTTCTGGAGGAATGGATGGATGGAGAGTTGGACAGAAGGGGATGGAGGGATGAGAGATGGATGCATATGTGCATGGATGGTGGGGATTTGGGATGGAGAGATGAGAGGTGGATAAGGGGGGGGATGGATGGAGGGGATGGAGTGATGGAGAGACGGATGGATGAGTGGGTGGATGGATGGAGGGGATGGAGGGATGAGAGATGGATAAGTGGGGGGATGGATGGAGGGGATGGAGGGATGAGAGATGGATGGGAGGATGGATGGAGGGATGGATGAGGGATGGATGAGTGGGTGGGTGGATGGAGGGATGGAGGGGTGCAGAGATGAAAGATGGATGAGTTGGTAGATGGATGATGAGGATGGAGGGATAAAAGATGGATGAATGGGTGCATGGATGGAGGGGATGGAGGGATGGGGAGATGAGCGATGGATGAATGGGTACATGGATGGAGGGGATGAAGGAATAGAGGGATGAGAGATGGATGAGTGGGTAGATGGAGGGGGATAGAGAGATGGAGAGATGAGGGATGGATGAGTGAGTGGATAGATGAAGGGATGGAGGGATGACGGAGATGGATGAGTGGGTGGACAGATGGAGGGGATGGAGGGATGCAGAGATGAGGGATGGATGAGTGGGTGGGTGGATGGAGGGGATGGAAGGATGGAGAGATGAGGGATGAGTGGGTGGATGGAGGGGGATAGAGATGGAGAGATGAGGGATGGATGAGTGAGTGGATAGATGAAGGGATGGAGGGATGACGGAGATGGATGAGTGGGGGGACAGATGGAGGGGATGGAGGGATGCAGAGATGAGGGATGGATGAGTGGGTGGGTGGATGGAGGGGATGGAAGGATGGAGAGATGAGGGATGAGTGGGTGGAGAGATGAGGGATGGATGAGTGGGTGGATGGATGAAGGGGAAGGAGGGATGCAGAGATGAGAGATGGATGAGTAGATGGAGGTGATGGAGGGTGGGAGATGGGGATGGATGTGTGGGTGGATGGATGGAAGGGGGTTGAGGGATGAGAGATGGGTGTGTGGGTGCATGGATGGTAGGGGATGGAAGGATGGAGAGATGAGGAATGGCTGCATGGGTGGCTGGATGGAGGGGATGAAGGAATGGAGAGATGAGGAATGGCTGCATGGGTGGCTGGATGGAGGATGAAGGAATGAAGATGAGGATGGATGTGTGGGTGGATGGAGAGATGAGGGATGGATGTGTGGGTGGATGGATGGAGGGATGGAGGGATGAGAGACGGATGAGTGGGTGGATGGATGGCAGGGATGGAGGGATGCAGAGATGAGGGATGGATGAGTGGCTCCATCGATGGAGGGGGGATGGATGGAGAGAGATGAGAGATGGATGTGTGGGTGAATGGATGGCGGGGATGGAGGAATGGAGGGATGAGTGAATGGATGGATGATGGTTGGATGGATGAATTCTGCTCCAGTGGCATCTGCAGCTTTGTATGGATTCCCCAGTTCTGCCATATTAAAGCATGTTGTGAGTGTCAGGCTTTGTGTGGGAGCCCCAGGGAATGAGGGGTTAACGGACATTGGTGGCCCTGAGTGCCAGCCTGAGGCTTTGGACTTAAAGGAAAAGCCCAGCATCAGGGTCCCATTACAGGATTTTAAAGGAGTCACAGGACGATGTGTAGCAGGACAACATCTCTGAGGCAGCGTGAGAGACACAGGAGGGGACGAGGTGACTTGAGGGCTGGAGGACAGGTGGGAGGGGCCCAAAAGCATTTATGCAGATGTCTGTATCTACGTATATAATTTTTTTCACTGTAAAATATAAATCTCTTAAGAACCTTGGAGCTCTTAGTATTTGAGAGAGATATAAGAGTTTTCTTTCCACAGTGTGACTATGTTTTCACCAAAGACCAACATCAAGAGTGAGGGGAAAGGATCTTCAAGACGCAGGAGCAGCTGTGCACGGTGTGTGGTGTCGTGCACATTCCAAGTACATTTGAAATAACCTAGACCTTTCCAATGCTTTAATGGGTTCTTTTCCAAACAGGTATAAGACCTTATATGTGTACATATGTTTACGTACATAAGTACACAGATATGTATATGAATATTATTTATATATCTTTTTAGCCAAATTTAATTCTTTCCTGTTAATTTTTCAGACATGGTCTGTTCTTACCACCTTAACAATTTTGAAATATTAAATTTTTGTTAAAATTTGGTTTAGAAAATGCCATAGCCAGTGCTCCTCCCTGTCATGCACGTGAATTGGGTGAAAACACTGGGGCCGTTGTAGTGCCAGGTGCTCATTCTGAGTGGCCGTGGCCCGCGCCACTGGGGAGAACGCCTGTCCATGGGACTGGCTCCACACTGGCTGCGGCTCTGACTGTGGGCATGTCCTGCAGACACCTGGGCCCCTTGTGACTGGACAGGGAAGAGCTTGGGGTCTAGGGTCCCTCCCAGTCCTGGATTTAAGATTACATTGAGGAGAGATACGGGCTACTGCACTTAAAACTCATTTTAACGTAAATGGGTCTGCTTTCAATCACTGTGTTACAGAGCACCAATATTGATTTTGCCCGTGTTCACTGCGTTTTTCTGCAGCCTTGCTGCTGTTCCTGCCACGCTCTGCTTGATATTACGCATATGCTTGCAGCAAAATGCATCCAGGCCTTATGCAGATGAAGTGTGGCATCAGAGTTCCATTCAGCTCTAATTCTGTTGGTAATTTTTTCTGTGAGGGCCCCGCTTTCCAGGCAGAGCGCGTTGCCTCTTCTGCATTTAGCTCTCGTGGGCCATCTGCTGAGAGCTGCTGGGCAGCAGTGGTGGCGAGGCCTCCAAATGCCACGCAGGGCCCAGGCGTGTTTATGGAAGGCATTGGCATGTACCCGGAAGGCATCTGTAGATGATGCCACCCACAGCGGCATGAGACTGGAAAGTGAAATTCATTTTCTGTTAGTGAGAACCCTCACCCCCAAATCGTCACAGTACTCATATCAGTTTACATGAAACACAAGAAATCCTTGCTATTTTCTATATAAAATACATGTCTTTTTTGGCAATATGGAATGTAAGTCTATTTAAAAGAGTTATTTCATGATTTTGAATGTAAGAGTCTAAATATAGACATATATAGGTAAATTTTCAAGTTTACTGGAATACAGTTATACATGTCGATGGAGGGGAAGCCCACTTCATTTCCTGCTTATGTTTTACTTCTGATCTCACTTTGAATGTCTCCCAATCGCTGTTACCTCTGGCCTTCCCTCAGGGAGCCGTACCCCATGGAGTGCGCTGTGCCCACCAAGCCTGGCCCCCAGGTTGCCGCCGCCCCCACCTGCACACGCGTGTGCTGCCTCCAGTACTCAGGTGCGCCACGTCCCACGGGAGCTGGGTAGCATTTCGTTTGTAAGTCTTTTATTCTGTCCACTGTAAACGTTTTTGTATTGTATCATAATTGTAAATATATTTTTTAAAACGCTGGTTACTTGAAGTTGCATGGCATGGTTTGTGTCTGGATAAAAACTGAGACTCCGTTTCACTCGACTATACTGAGGGTGATCACTGGGCATCTCGCCCCTGCGTTGGCGCAGAGACTGGCACTCACTCACTAGCAGCGAATTTGCTGTTCTGTGTCCAGCTCCTCCGGATTTTGCTCTCTGTGTGTCTGATCCCTCCTACAGAAGTGTTAAGGTGGGCCTGGTGGGAGGGCTTTGGCAGGCCGAGATGCTAACGGAACAGTCGCTGCTTCCCTCTGGAGATGCGGTCTCCGCTCATGGATAGGCTGGAGATGCCAGGCTGGGGATGACACTGCGCAGGCTGTGCACAGGATTCCTTCCTTACCAGACCCTCAGCCGGGCCCTTTTCCTGCAGGGCTGAGTGTGTCTCAGCTTCCGTGACAGTCGCCCTGTATCTCATGCGTGTCCTGATAATGCCTTCATCAGGCTTCTCTTGGATCTCAGCAATTTTTTCTAAATAATGTTTGACAGAAGAGGAGCAGCTTGTGAGAGTGCCCTTGGCCTCGGCTAGGTCGTTCCAGCACTTGAACGCTTCTCAGAAGTGAGGTTTCCTTGCAGGTGAACTGTGCCCTTGCCTGGGGCTGGACAGAAAGTCCTGTCTGGGCCGGTACCTTGTCCCACCCTCATGCCATCTGTCCAGAGGGTTGAGTCGCCTAAGGGTTACCATTTACTACTCCGCTGAATTCCCTTTATTTTATTATATAATTATAGCCAAAGAAGTTTTAAAATCATTTTCGGAAATTAAGTAGTATTATCAGTAAATGTCCTTTTGATCTTTGATAGACCAGAACAATCCTTCCGTGTTAGCAGCCTTCAAGTTTGAATATTGTGGGTGACATCTATAATTCCTTCCTTCCCTCCTTCCTTCCTTCCTTCCTTCCTTCCTTCCTTCCTTCCTTCCTTCCTTCCTTCCTTCCCTCCCTCCCTCCCTTCCTTCCCTCCTTCCTTCCTTCCCTCCCTCCCTCCCTCCCTCCCTCCCTCCCCCTCCCTCCTTTTCTCCCCTTTCCTTTCCTTTCTTTCTTTTCCTTCCTCCCTCCCTCCTCCCTCCTCCCTCCCTCCCTCTCCCTCCCTCCCTCCCTCCCTCCTTTTCTTCTTTTCTTTTTCTTTCTTTCTTTCTTTTCTTTTCTTTCTTTCTTTCTTTCTTTCTCTTTCTTTCTTTCTTTCTTTCTTTCTCTCTCTTTCTTTTCTTTCTTTCCTTTCTTTCTTTCCTTTCTTTCTTTCTTTTTGAGACAGAGTCCCACTCTGTTGCCCAGGCTGGAGTGCAGTGGCACAATCTTGGCTCACTGCAATCTCCGCCTCCTGGGTTCAAGCGATTCTCCTGCCTCAGCCTCCTGAGTAGCTGGGATTACAGGCATGCGGCACCATGCCCGGCTAATTTTTGTATTTTTAGTAGAGACGGATTTCGCCATGTTAGCCAGGCTGGTCTCAAACTCCTGACCTCAGGTGATCCTCCTGCCTCAGCCTCCCAAAGTACTGGATTACAGGCGTGAGCCACTGCTCCCAGCTCCTATCATTTATTTCACTCCTGTTTTCGAAAACATTTAATGTAATTGGTCGGGCTGAGTATGCCTCTGGGCGCTTCTGGGTTTGATCGAGGCGGGCCCCCGCCGTGTTTCAGGGGCGTCCTGTCCTTGAGTGAAGGGACCTTTTTGGGTACAGCTTTTCCTGTTCACAACCTCGCACAGCAGCCACAGTCTCTCATCCTGGCTGCTCATCCTGCTGTTCCTCTTCTAAGGGGAAGGACGGCGAGGATGACAAAGGCAGTGCTCTGCAAAGTTGTTGGTAGAGGATATGAGAAAGGGATTACCAATGGCTGGCGCCGCAGACCCCCATGCCAATGTTAGTGTTTGTGTCTTAGAACCAGGCCAACTAGAAGTTCTACTCTTGCCTGTGGTCAGTGTGACTCCTATGAATTAGGCTTTCTCCAGTGTGACTTGTGAACTAGGCCTTTCTACAGTGTGACCTCTGTGAACTAGACTTTTCTCCAGTGTGACCCCTGTGAACTAGACTTTCTACAGTGTGACCCTGTGAACTAGACTTTCTACCTGTGAACCTGTGAATCCAGGCTTTTCTACAGTGTGACCCTGTGGAACTAGGCTTTTCTCCAGTGTGACCCTCTGTGAACTGACTTCTACAGTGTGACCCTGTGAACTAGACTTTTCTACAGTGTGACCCTGTGAACTAGGGACTTTCTACAGTGTGACCCTGTGAACTAGACTTTTCTACCTGTGAACCTGTGAACTAGGCTTTCACAGTGTGACCCCCAGAACTACATCTTTCTACAGTGTGACCCTGTGAACTAGGCTTTTCTACAGTGTGACCCTGTGAACTAGACTTTCTACAGTGTGACCCTGTGAACTACGCTACAGTGTGTGACTCTGTGAACTAGACTTTTCTACAGTGTGACCCTGTGAACTAGACTTTTCTACCTGTGAACCTGTGAACTAGGCTTTTCTACAGTGTGACCCTGTGAACTAGACTTTTCTACCTGTGAACCTGTGAACTAGGCTTTTCTACAATGTGACCCTGTGAACTAGACTTTTCTACAGTGTGACCCTGTGAACTAGACTTTTCTACAGTGTGACCCTGTGAACTAGACTTTCTACAGTGTGACTCCTGTGAACTGTGGCTCTTTCTCCAGTGTGTGACCCTGTGAACTAGACTTTTCTACCTGTGAACCTGTGAACTAGCTTTCACAATGTGACCTCCTGTGAACTCAGACTTCTACAGTGTGACCTCAGAACTAGACTTTTCTACAGTGTGACCTCAGAACTAGACTTTTCTACAGTGTGACCCTGTGAACTACGCTACACAGTGTGACTCTGTGAATCAGGCCTTTCACAGTGTGACCTCGTGAACTAGACTTTTCTACAGTGTGACCCTGTGGAACTAGACTTTCTACAGTGTGACTCCTGTGAACTAGGCTTTTCTCCAGTGTGACCCTGTGAACTAGACTTTTCTACCTGTGAACTCCTGTGAACTAGTTTTCTACAATGTGACCTCTGTGGAACTAGACTTTTCTACAGTGTGACCCCTGTGAACTAGACTTTTCTTTACAGTGTGACCTCTGTGAACTAGACTTTTCACAGTGTGACCCCGTGAACTACTTTCTACAGTGTGACTCTGTGAACTAGGCCTTTCTACAGTGTGACCCTGTGAACTAGACTTTTCTACAGTGTGTGACCCTCCTGTGAACTAGGCTTTCTACAGTGTGACCCCTGTGAACTAGACTTTTCTACAGTGTGACCTCTGTGAACTACGCTACAGTGTGACTCTGTGAACTAGACTTTTCTACAGTGTGACTCCTGTGAACTAGGCTTTTCTCCAGTGTGACCCTGTGAACTAGACTTTTCTACCTGTGAACCTGTGAACTAGGCTTTTCTACAATGTGACCCTGTGAACTAGACTTTCTACAGTGTGACCCTGTGAACTAGACTTTTCTACAGTGTGACCCTGTGAACTAGACTTTTCTACAGTGTGACCCTGTGAACTACGCTTTTCTACAGTGTGACTCTTCAGAACTAGACTTTTCTACAGTGTGACTCCTGTGAACTAGGCTTTTCTCCAGTGTGACCCTGTGAACTAGACTTTTCTACCTGTGAACCTGTGAACTAGGCTTTTCTACAATGTGACCCTGTGAACTAGACTTTCTACAGTGTGACCCTGTGAACTAGACTTTTCTACAGTGTGACCCTGTGAACTAGGATTCTTCTACAGTGTGACCCTGTGAACTACGCTTTTCTCTACAGTGTGACTCTGTGAACTAGACTTTCTGCTGTGCAGACCTCTGTGAACTAGGCTTTTCTACAGTGTGACCCTGTGAACTAGACTTTTCTACAGTGTGACTCCTGTGAACTAGGCTTTTCTCCAGTGTGACCCTGTGAACTAGACTTTTTCACCTGTGAACCTGTGAACTAGGCTTTCTACAATGTGACCTCAGAACTAGACTTTTCACAGTGTGTGACCTCTGTGAACTAGACTTTGCCAGTGTGACCCTGTGAACTAGATCTTTCTACAGTGACCCTGTGAACTACGCTTTTCTACAGTGTGACTCTGTGAACTAGACTTTTCTACAGTGTGACCCTGTGAACTAGGCTTTTCTACAGTGTGACCCTGTGAACTAGACTTTTCTACAGTGTGACCCTGTGAACTAGACTTTTCTACAGTGTGACCTCAGAACTACGCTTTTCTACAGTGTGACTCTCTGTGAACTAGACTCCTTTTCTACAGTGTGACTCTGTGAACTAGGCTTTTCTCCAGTGTGACCCTGTGTGAACCCAGGCCTTTCTACAGTGTGACTCCCGTGAACTAGACTTTTCTACAAAGTGACCCTGTGAACTCGGCTTTTCTACAGTGTGACCCTGTGAACTCGGCTTTCTACAGTGTGACCCTGTGAATCAGACTTTTCTACCTGTGAGCCTGTGAACTAGACTTTTCTACAGTGTGACCCTGTGAACCAGGCTTTCTACAGTGTGACCCTGTGAACTAGACTTTTCTACAGTGTGACCCTGTGAACTAGACTTTTCTACCTGTGACCCTGTGAACTAGGCTTTTCTACAGTGTGACCCTGTGGAACTAGACTTTCTACAGTGTGACCTCGTGAACTAGGCTTTTCTACAGTGTGACCCTGTGAACTAGACTTTTCTACAGTGTGACCTCAGGAATCAGGGCTTTTCACATGACCTCTGTGAATCAGGCTTTCTTACAGTGTGACCCTGTGAATCCAGGGCTTTTTCTACAGTGTGACCCTGTGAACTAGACTTTCCTACAGTGTGACTCCTGTGAACTAGACTTTTCTACAGTGTGACCTCTGTGAACTAGACTTTCTACAGTGACTTAGAATCAGGCTTTTCTACAGTGTGACCCTGTGAACTTGGGCTTTTCACTTGTGACCCTATGAACTTGGCTATTCTACAGTTTGACCTCAGAACTCCGGCTTTTCTACCTGTGACCCTGTGAATCCCGGCTTTTCTACAATGTGACTCCTGTGAACTAGACTTTTCTTACAGTGTGACTTCTGTGAACTAGCTTTTCTACCTGTGAACCTGTGAACTAGGCTTTTCTACAGTGTGACCTCTGTGAATCCGACTTTTCTACAGTGTGACCCTGTGAACTAGGCTTTTTCTACAGTGTAACCCTGTGAACTGGAACCTGTGACCCTGTGAACTCGGTCTTTTCTACAATGTGACCCCGTGGAACTAGACTTTTCTACAGTGTGACTCCTGTGAACTAGGCTTTTCTACCTGTGAACCTGTGAACTAGGCTTTTCTACAGTGTGACCCTGTGAACTAGACTTTTCTACAGTGTGACCCTGTGAACTAGACTTTTCTACAGTGTGACCCTGTGGACCACGCTACAGTGTGACCTCAGAACTAGACTTTTTCTACAGTGTGACTCCTGTGAACTAGGCTTTTCTACCTGTGAACCTGTGAACTAGGGCTTTTCACAGTGTGACCCCAGAACTAGACTTTTCTACAGTGTGACTCCTGTGAACTAGACTTTCTACAGTGTGACCCCGTGAACCACGCGCTTTCTACAGTGTGACTCTGTGAACTAGGACTTTTCTTTACAGTGTGACTCCCTGTGGAACTAGGCTTTTCTACAGTGTGACCCTGTGAACTCGGCTTTTCTACTTGTGACCCTGTGAACTTGGCTATTCTACAGTTTGACCCTGTGAACTCGGCTTTTCTACCTGTGACCGTGTGAACTCGGCTTTTCTACAATGTGACCCTGTGAACTAGACTTTTCTACAGTGTGACTCCCAGAACTAGGTTTTCTACAGTGTGACTCCTATGAACAAGGTTTTTCTACAGTGTGACTCCCACGAACAACAAGGCTTTGTACAGTGTGACTCTGTGAACTAGGGCCTTCTACAATGTGACCCTGAACTAGGCTTTTGTACAGTGTGACCTCGTGAACTCGGCTTTTCTACACTGTGACGCCTATGAATTAAGCTTTTCTACAGTGTGACCCTGTGAACTCGGCTTTTGTGCAGTGTAACCCTGTAAACTAGGCTTTTCTACAGTGTGACCCTGTGAACTAGGCTTTTCTACAGTATGACCCTGTGAACTAGGCTTTTCTACAGTGTGATCCTGTGAACTAGGCTTTTCTACAGTATGACCCTATGAACTAGGCTTTTCTACAGTGTGACCCTGTGAACTAGGGCTTTTCTACAGTGTGACTCCCGTGAACCAGGCCTTCTGCACAGCACAATCCCTGAACGGGCTTTTCTACAGTGTGACCCTGTGAACTCGGCTTTTGTACAGTGTGACCTTGTGAACTCGGCTTTTGTAGTGACTCTGTGAACTCGGCTTTTGCACAGTGTGACCCTGTGAACTCGCTTTGGCAGTGTGACTCTGTGAACTAGGCTTGACAGTGTGACCCTGTGAACTAGGCTGCTTTCTCTACACTGTGACTCCCGGCATGAATTTAGGCTTTTCACAGTGTGACCCCTGTCACTGCTTTTGTGCAGTGTGACCCTGTAAACGAGGCTTTTCTACAGTGTGATCCTGTAAACGTGGCTTTTCTACCCTCTGTGATTCCTACAAACTAGGCTTTTCTACAGTGTGACCCTGTGAACTAGGCTTTTCTACAGTGTAACCCTGTGAACTAGGCTTTTCTACAGTGTGACTCCTGTCTACAGTGTGACTCCTACGTATTAGGCTTTTCTAAGAGATCTTTTTTTAAATTCTTTTAACAGGAGATGGGCAGTGGCTGGCCTGTGGGTTGTCTAACCATCTATCGCTCGTTTTTGGTGCCAGCCTGACTGGGACACCTGCTGTGTTTTCAGGTAAAATGTGTCTTAATTTCAGTCAGTATGAACTTAAGGATGGGTCTCATTTAGGTCCTGGTTGTCAGTTTCTAAAGGACACTTTTGTTTCCTTCAGGACATCAGCAGAACAAAACCAAAGCTTGAATTGGGGTCTAAACTGGATTCACTGAGATCTTAAACCAAACAGGGTAAACATTACTCATGAGAATAGCATGGCAGCACTTCCGTGGCTGGTGCCCTGGAGGCCAAGAGCCGATCATCTGTAGAGTTTTAGGGGAGTGAGTGAAGTTGAATCCTAAATAATTGAAATATATTTAATTAATGTAATTGAAAGGCATACAGTTGAAATGTATTTTGAAATTTAGTAGGGTTTGTGCATAGAGATTTTTATAAACGTAACAAAGCAAACTATTTTCTTTTAAAAGTAGATCTGAGAGAAACAGTGTTAAAATTATGACCATTTTAACTCATAACTGGGATATATATTTGATTCCTAATTCTAATTCCATAAAACCTGACAGTTCTTTGTTAGGGTCCTGATACTGCTTGCCTCAGAACTTACACTTGGTAGATATTTTAACCAAAGCACAGAAACAACAAAAAATATCTCACTAGTCCTTCTGTTTTATACAGGTTTAGCATCCCTAATCCAAAATTCTGAAATCCAAATACCCCCAAATCCAGAACGCTTTGAGTGCTGACATAACACCGAGGAGATGCCCGTTGAAGCATCTCAGATTTCGGATTTTCGGGTTAGGGTTGCTTACTTGCCATAATGCAGATATTCCACAATCGGAAAGAATGGGAAATCCAGAACAGCTCTGATCCCCAGCATTGCGAATATGGGACACTCAGCCTGTTGCGTGACCACCCCAAGGGCAGTCGTTAGGAAATGCGGAGGTGGGGCCTGGTGGGGCTGAGATGGGGACGGAGGCAACGGGAGCCAGGCCCGGGCAAGGCCACACCTGGGAGCAGATGAGCGCCCCCAGTGACTCTGGCCTCACGCCCTCTGCTTGCTAACGCCCGGGGCCACGTCTCGGAGGCCCCCAAGGGCAGGCAGAGCTGGACTCGGCTCCTGCATGAGCAAAGCTGCCGCCCCTGCATGGTCTGGGCAGAGCACAGTTCTCCGGTCTTGGCCTGGATGCCACCCTTGCCCTTTGAGCCCCTTGCTCCTAGTCCCACCCCGCATCTATCGGGTAGCCTCAGAATCTTCACCATGCACCCGGGAGCCCTGAGCCGGCCTCTTTCATTGATTGATAGGAGTGGTGGTTCTGTTGACTGTGGATGTTTCCCTGTGTATTTTATTGTTGGAAAAAGGGCTTCTCACTGAACTAAGAAAATGCAGTGGTTTTTCAAATTCATCTTTACGAAAACTTACTCTGTTTCTGTGTGGGGGAAAAGTGCCACATTTACCCATCTCAACTGCACAAGCCACATCACTTCACTTTGGGTGTGTAACGTTTAATAGTGACATCACTCAACATTGAAAATGTGACTGGTCTCTCAGCACCTGCCCAGAACACAGAAAAATGAGTGTCTTTATTTCCATTATGATCTGGGACAAATAAGTATAAATTCAAATTTCCTCCTGGAGAGTTCAGGGGCCTCTGAGCACACAGTCAGGTAGCACATCCCATCCTGAAAACCACTGAGAGCAACCGTATTTAATTTAATAAAGAAGTTAATGTGTTTCTGCTTTAGATTTTAGAATTTTTCCTATCAAAAATTGTATCTAGTCCAAAGACAGAGTCCCAGGCCTTCCACCAAGCATGTGCCTGGCACAGAGTAGATTCTCAGCGATACAGGATGGCGGGTTCTGAGCGCGCTGCGCAGGAGAGCTGCATCGTCTGTATGCGCCCTGGAGCCAGTGGTGATCGTTGTGAAGTTCTGGGGTCAGGCATTTCGGAAGATTAAATCTAAAATTGCATTACAGATAGTGGAATTGTATAAAAAAGAAATCTTTGTCAAAGTATGAAGTGAAGATCTGTGTCTCTCCTGTTCCTGAGCTTTTGGTTGGCTCGAGCTGTGCCGAGTGGCTTCTGCTCTTCTTCTCTGAGCAGAGACTGCACATGCTGGCCTCCGTGCTGCTTATGTCGCCACACCCTTGACTGCTTCCCCACCACGGGGCCGCGTCCAAAGGAAGTCTAGGTCCAGAGGTCTCAAGCTCTGACCTAGGCCATGCATGGCAACTCACGCCTGTAATCCCAGCACTTTGGGAGGGTGAGGTGGATGAATCACTTGAGATCAGGAGTTTGAGACCAGCCTGACCAACATGGCAAAACTTCTCTGCTAAAAAATACAAAAATTAGCTGGGTATGGTGGAGAGCACCTGTAATCCCAGCTACTCAGGGGGCTGACACACGAGAATCGCTTGAACCCAGGAAAATCGCTTGAACCGCAGAGGTTGCAGTGAGCTGAGATGGCACCACTGCACTGTAGCCTGGGTGACAGAGCAAGACTCTGTCTCAAACAAACAAACAAACAAAACCCTGACCTAGACACGGTTTTAGAATCCTTTTCACTCTCTTTCTGAAGCTCCTCATCTCATCACACACACCACAGGGGAAACTGATCAATTGAAAAGAGGAGGGAGGCCTTCCGTACAGTGAGGAGATGGTGGGGAGAGAGAGGAAGAGGCACCCGTGTGGTCCCCCATGGGCACATTGCTTCGTGGGGATTGGCCTTGCCTGCGGTGACTCGTCTTCGATGCACCCTGTGGCCACAGCACTTCACGCATATATCTGGGGCTGGAGCTTGGGAGACAAGGGGGATCCCACCTTTGGCAAGTTCTAAGGAATTGCCATTGTTTTCATCCTGGGAGTGGAAGTCCGTCCCTGACACTTGAGATGAAGGACCAGGCCGACTTGTCAGGACTGAGCACAAGGTGGCATTTTGCAATGCCTGCATTGCCTCTGCTGGCCTTGGTGGCTTAGTGGACCACTGGGCCCCCAGCAGACGCTGTGCTCATAGGAGGAGGTGGGAAGGACTAGAAAAACACATTCTCTGTCTCACGAAGAAGGAAGAGCGTGGGTAGCGGTAACTTCACCCTCCCTCCTGTGTGACCTCATGCGGCCTCTTGCAGCCTGTGGGTCAGGCAGTAGAGGCTGGTCTGAGCTTGATATTGGAAGAGAGTGGGCCACACGGCTGGTAATGGAGTGACTTCTGAGGTCAGTCACTGGGCAGAAGCGTAAGGCCCTTCTCACTGGGAGGATGCCCTTATGGCCCAGGCTGCCTGGACCAGGCCTCGCAGCAGGTATCTGAACCTGTGATATTCTCGGATGGTGCGGAGCTGCAGACACCACTGGTGTTCAGTACAAGCAGCATGGGTGGCATCTGTTAATGGCAGTCATGAACATGACTTTCCTTTGAGTCTTGCGGCTGCTGTTAGCTGAGCAGCAGTGAGGAATGTTTGGAGCTTTCCTTAACCGGCCTCTGTACTTTTGCTAAAACTGCCAGAACTCTACACGTGAGGGCAGCAAAGCTATTTCACGTTTTTCTGCGCTGTAAATTTCTGCTCTGCGTTTCCTGGCGTCCTGTTGCAGAACTGAGTTATGTTCTTACAATTACGTCTTTCCTGGTTTTCCCTTCTTTTTACGTTGGTTCCCTGGCAGATGTGATGTAGTGAGATAGCAGTTCCTTGTCCGGTCTACAAATTGTGACGCGTGATTCACGTGCTGAGGCCCGCAGGAAGGGGCCTTCTGCTCTGTGGGAAGATCCCGGCTACAGCAGGAATTTTCTCGGGAGTTGTGGTTACCCATCCCCTGTGATTTTAATCAGAAAGTGCTTAGCTATGGAGGTGAAATGGGGTCGCTGAGCAGGTCTGGGGTCATTTGTTGTCAGGAAGCATGAGTGAGGCTGCCTGTCAGTTTTCTCTTTGCTGTCCCAGCCCAGGTGCTGGGGGGTCAGAGGCTGGGGGGTCAGAGGCTGCAGGGCTGGGCGTGGCCTCTCCTTGCCCTCACCTCCCCACCTCCTCCCCTCTCGCCCTCCTCACCATGCCACACGCCTGGCTTTCGCTCCAGGGCCGACCTCTGAGGAGAAGCACATCCCTGGTCGTCTTCGCTTTCTCCTTTCCTCTGCGTCCGCTGCTTGTTAGAACCGTCAGGTGGCGGCAGCTGAGAGACTGTTTGAAGACGCCTCCGGCCTGACAGCCGTTCTAGGGGTTATGAGGCAAGACAGGTCCAGAAACCAGCGCGGGCTCAGGGCCTGGGCCCCAGGGTTAGGCTGAGAGTAGGATGACGTGGGGGGTAGGATGAGGTGGGGGGACAGAAAAGCTCTTACAGGTGTATGAAATAAAGGCTGTTTGCCTCATCGCCTACCTTAGTTTCATATCAGAGCAGCACACACTGCCGATATTCAGACGCCTGAAGACTAGCATCGGCGCTCTCAGAAATCAGCATCCAAGCAGCTATTGTAAGTTTAGACAAAACTTTTCAAATCTGTCAGAACAAATGATCGACTTATATGTGTGTGCTCAGGGATTTTTTTTTCACTTTTTTCTTCAACGTTGATGGCAGTTCTTTAAAATACGGATGCATTATCATGGAGTCCACAGATTTCTGTACTGTAGCTTATAATACTAACTGTTATCATGTTCTTCTCTGATAACATACACTCACAGATGCACACATGATGTTGAACTTCTTAGTTTAAGAAATGCGAGGTTTTACACTGCCTGGCCGAGGCATTCAATCACACCACAAACCTCAGCACCACACAATACACACTCCTAACAAACCCACACCTGCACCTCCTGAATCTGAAATAAAAGCTGAAAAAAATGGAACGCGAGGCTTTGAGCAACTGCCTTCAGAAGCCACATTGAGTCTCTGCTGAAGGGAGATGGTGTACCCGGCCTCAGGCTCTGCGGCCTCACTGTGGCCAGGAGAAGCCTCCTGGCGCCGCTTATTGCTTGACAAACGCTGTCCCGGCTGTGTTGTATGAAAGTGCCAGAGAAGTAGCGCTCAGTCAAACTGATCCTAACAGCAGAAACAGTCACCCTCTCCGGTCATTCCTGTTAGGTCACGACGGGGCGGTGAACACCGTGTGCTGGAGCCAGGACCGGAGGTGGCTGCTCTCTGCAGCCCAGGATGGGACCCTGCGGGTGTGGTCAGCTCGTGGGGCAGAGCTGGCACTGCTTCTGGTAATGGACGGTCACCTCTGCCATGGGCAGTCATTTCCAAAGGAGCTGAGAGCTTCTCAAAAGTCTCATTCTTTTACCTTAACAGGAGATGAGGAAAGGGACATAAGCCGAGTTTGCTTTAAAAAAAGTTATTGATTAAAAGTTATTGCTTCAATGCAATAAACGTTATTGATTAGTTTCTTAAATGTGTGTCTACATGTATATATTCACACGTACGCAGTAGGCACACGCATATAGATGCATATGCATGTGCACACTTACATGTTTGCCACATATTCACACACGTGCACTAGGCACACATGATATAGATGCATACACATGCATGCACTTACATACTTGCCACATATTCAGATGCACGCAATAGGCACACGCATGTAGATGCATACACATGCGCACACTTACATACGTGCCACGTATTCACACGCACACAGGCACACACGCATATAGATGCATGCACACGTGCACACTTACATACTTGCCACGTGCGTGCATACATTCATATGCTTAAATCTATCCTTATGTTTGTGATGGTCTGTGAATGCCACATGATTAATACTGAAACATTTGAAGAATTTAAAATATTGATTCAATGTGATTTCGTAGACCAGAAGCAAAATGGCCAAGGGGCTATTATGTGGGGGAAGTATATTTTAGGAAGAAGAGTGACTTGTTTTGATGAACTTACACGAGATCATTTGGGAGCGGAACAGGAAAGGAGAGACAGGAAGATGATAACCTTATGACTAGGACAGGGAAAGAAAAGGAAATGGTAGGAAACTCACCTTCAAATCATGAAATTATGAGCAGGCGACTTGCAAAGAACGTAACATAAAAAGCAGTCGCATTTTCAAAGATGTTGGCATTTATTTTCTATGGGTCTTTTATAGAAAGGGGATTGAAGATGAGAAAGACAAGAAAGGAAGTGTCAGTTAAGGAAGACCCAGGGCCTCTCTGAAGGTGAAGCGTTGGCAGCAGCTTCAGGAAGTAGTTTGCTGAGAACTGTGGATGCCGTCAGCTTGCTCTGTGTCATAACACGTTTGGTTTTGAGGTCTAAATTTGAGAGCAGACACCTCAGAACTACATTTTAAAACATTTTAAATTTCAGCTTTAATAAAATCCTTGCTACTTAGTAGGTTTACTGCTAAGTTTCAATTCTTTTAAAGTTGTTAAATGGCTGGAATTCAAAGCATTCATTACAGTGAAATTTTAATCATGTAATACCTTTCAGAAGTAGTAGGCAGAAACAAAAATTGTAGATTGGGTCTAACAAAGTATATGTACGCATTTAGAATAAATAGATGTTGGGTTTTAAGAAGAAATAATTTTATGTTTAGAGCAATAGTGTTTTTGTTAACATTTATCGTATTGACAATAATTACTGATTTGCATTACAGGGCAGAGACATGTTTTCTAAACCGATACAGTCTGCACAGTTTTATTATATAGATTCCTTTATATTGTTGTCTTCTGGTCCTGAATTTCAGCTACTGAAGTATCACATTGACACTTGCAAAGATGAGATGAAGAGGTAGGCACCCCTCCACCCTGTGCATTAGTTTTAGATCAGAGGAAGCCGTTTCAATAATGTGATGTTGAAAAGGTATTTACATTTTAAAAAGTTGCCCCAAATTTAATAATGACCTCATATCACTAAACTCCTGATGAGAGGGAATTATCCAGATCCTACGCATTTTAAACCTTCCTTTGTATTACTATGTGCGGGGCCTTCGGCATGACAGAATGCGAGAATCGGGGGGATTTGAGAAACCTCAGTTATCTCGGCTCTGCAGCTATTGAAGTGATGTTACGTGGGACAAATACTATTGATAATACAAAGTTAAATTATGAACTATTTCAAATATATACATATATATGGGGAATAATAAATATCTCCTTAGCTACACTTAGCTTGGACAAGTATTAATATTTCACTGTCTTTGTTTTCCATAATTTTTAAAGAAAGAAAATATTACAGAGGGAATTAGGAACCTGTCTCCCAGTCCTGTCCGCTTCCCTTTTTCCTTTTTTTAAGATTGGTGTGTTTGGTCGTAGTTTTATATTTTTGCTGTATTTCTATGTATTCATGTCTTTTTTTTTTTTTTTTTTTTTTTTTGCGTGTAACATAAGCACACCTTTCTTAATCAAAGTTATGTTTCTGAGATGTGTGACTTCAGTTTGTTAATTGGGGCGAGTGCCCTGCGGTCGGAATGGGCACCGCGTCTGCCTGCTTCTCTCGTGGAAGGATGTCGGGTTGGGACCTGCAAAGGATTGGGTCTCCCAGCCAATAGACAGGCTTACAGGGAATCCCTGGTCTCAATGAGAGCGTCCCCACTCTCATCTGTCCCGTGTCACAGCTTCCCAGGAGTGACTTCTGGCCTGTGCTGGGTCAGGTTGTACGCAGAGGAAGGGCTCCAGGACCCAGCGGCTCCCTCCTGTGGCCCCTCCCTCAGCCTTGTCTTCGGAGATGCCTGGGACTTTCAGTCCTAAAGTTTGTTTGTTTGTTTGTTTGTTTTTGAGATGGAGTCTCGCTCTGTCGCCAGGCTGAAATGCAATAGTGAGATCTTGGCTCACCACAACCTCTGCCTCCCGGGTTCAAGTGATTCTCCTGCCTCAGCCTCCCAAGTAGCTGGGATTACAGGCGCCCCCCACCACACCTGGCTAATTTTTGTACTTTTAGTAGAGACGGGGTTTCACTATGTTGGTCAGGCTGGTCTCGAACTCCTGACCTCGTGATCTGTGTGCCTTGGCCTCCCAAAGTGCTAGGATTACAGGTATGAGCCACCACACCTGGCCTGAAGTTTATTTTTACTTACCAGGAGCGAGCTTCATAGATCAGCTCACGTCACAGGCTTCCCGTCTCGGCTGGCACAGCCCTTTGCCCCTGAGAGTTGGCGGCTTCTCTTCTTGTTCTTGCCTCCTCTTTCTGATCTTGTGGGACTTCCTCTTAGAGATCACTTTGCAGCCACTTCAGTTGGGTTTCGGAAGGTAGCGAAGCTGAAGCATGTGTTCAGTTATATGTAGCGGGAGATGGGCAGGTTTTTCTAAGCATACACGGAAATACCCTATAGTAAAAGGCTGGTGCATTTGACCACAGACTGAAGGAGGAGGAGGAGGTGGGGGATCTTTCGTATGTCAGAAATCACCACAAATAATTAGATGTTAATAGAAAAACAGTTTTTTTTCCCTAAAGAAAAATCAAGGTAGCTAATTCACTTTTTCCCTCAGTATCATAAAATGTGACTTTTAAAGTGATATGAAAACTTTCTTTTCATGTTTAATGTTTTTAAACATAAGATATTTAGTGTAGTGGAAGGAAAGCAAGAAGATTGATCATCTTGATTTTCTCTTCCAGATATAAACAGAAGAGCAAGTCCAAGCTGATTTGCAGGCTCTCCACGACGGGTGCAGTAGACATGACCAGTCTATCAGCAGTCAACGACTTTTATTCCCGTATCCTTTCTCCCAGATCCTGGTAGGGTTTTACGCCCTGAGTGTCATTCCTCTGGCAGAGGTGTGTGCTGAGCATCTCATGAGTGTCAGGCATTGTGTGTGGCTCCGGGAATACACGGACCCTTCTCATGGAGCTCGCTGTCCTTGTGTTAATTGTACGTGCTAATAATTCATCTCAATATTCAGAAAGGGCCTCAAAGGAAAAAGAAACCTGAGTGCCACATAGCTCATGCCGTCCAGCAGGTGGGCTGACCTGGCACTTCTGCTCTGGACTTTGTTGACTAATGTCTAGTAATGTAATTATTCTATCTCGTCTGCAGAGCTGGCAAAAATCATAGCAAACTGTTCAAAATAATATGAAATGGAATCCAGAACTTTAATTTTTGAGATTTTTATGGCTAACACCATTGCTTTTAATTTTCAAAGTTGATTTTAATTTATTTAGGGGAAAAGCTCCAGATCTTTAGGAATTCATTGTATAAAGTTTTAGTTTACTCAAAGTTCAGTCTAAGTTGAACTCTATTGGAGGGTTTTATAGTTGAACTAAAATAAAGTGGTAGGAGGTTGTAGTATGTTTTAGTTAGAAATGTGGTAATTTCATGCTAGAATTGGTGCTAAAATACCTAGCAGAAATAAGAAATATGTCATTAGGATTACTTTAGCTTAAATGATGGTTTCTGGAATACAAGGATACTAGAGTCAAGAGTAGTCCAGCGCTAACACCAGCATTACAGGTCTCTCGACTCCAGTGCACCTGTGTTCCCACCACATATGCTCATTACTGCAGCATTCAGGGCTGAGCATTGAGGCTTGGGGGTGGGTGCTGGTGGTCACGCGAGCCCTAAATGTATACACTGCTCCTCATAGGTCAAGTTTATGAAGCGTGTCACGGTCACCTGCCAACATGGCACTCTCTGGGTTATGTCTCCCCTTGTGAGGCCTGCCCCAGGTGCTGTCACCCACTCTGTGGATCTGTCTAATCTTAGTTCAGTCCTTTCTTCTGAGTGCAGTGTCTACATATTCAATTATTTGACGTCTGATTTGGGTGTTTCATGGGCATCTCAAATACCACGTATCTAAAGCTGGAACTCCCACTTCAAAACAGGCACTGAGGTGGTCTCCCTTTCCCTAAGCAGCTCCCCAACCCCGCCCACCTGCTCTTCCCAATGCCTGGGGCCAGATGGGGTGGGGCTGGAGTGGGCTCAGGACGTTTCAGGCGGAACTTCAGAAATTCTTAACTAGTCATCCATTCTTGAGTCTTCTAATATTCCAAAGTTTTTATTAGTAAAAGAGATGGACTGTCCCTTCCCCATGGGTACGAGTGTTGAGAGGAGCTCCCTAACTGGATTATCGCAGACATCGTTCTCGCAGCTGGCCGGAACAGGACTGTGGAAGTGTTCGACCTCAACGCCGGCTGCAGTGCAGCGGTGATAGCAGAAGCCCACTCGCGGCCTGTCCATCAAATCTGCCAAAATAAAGTGAGTCAGTTTTTGGATAATATACATCATCTGTACAACTATGTGTTTAAAGCATTTCACAGATACAAATGTATGATGCCATTTTAGCAGTGTTTGCTACCAAATTCAATGTTAATTTTTATTGATCATTAATTATTCGAAGCCTCGATGTTTGGCCCTAGGACATACTTTAGTATGATGTTGAATGTTAAGTTTTGTACTTTTGTGTTTGACTATTTTATAGGCTCATACTAAGATTTTACTAGGAAAACATTCTCACATAAAACTTTATAGGGTTGCGTATTTTTAGCAATAGTGGATTGCGTGGTAGACACATAGGTTCTACGGCCTGTGGGGCAGCCTTGCTAAATCAATAGCTTTTTTTGAAGGTGGAGGCTGTTGGATACAGCCAGTCCATTTTGACAGAGACAAAGTTTACAAATATCCACAGCAATGGGTTCAAAGGTTGGCATTACAGGAGAGACATTTGATGAATTCATTGTCTGATAGCTGCATGGTTCAAAAGACACTTGGTTACCCAAGAGGGGGTCTAAGTCTTGGGAACAAAACTGCATTTCTTAGGACTAAAACTGTAATTTTGGTTGTTGATACGCCCGGAAAGGTTTTCCAAGTCAAGGATTTAACTTACAATGCCTCTGGCATTTATATTATGATTCAGGGTATCATTTTGCTAAGTGAAGTATTGCAACGTTGGTTAAACAGACTTTGTTATCCACAAGTTAACACATTTTGCATCTTTTTTTTTTTTTTTTTTTGAGAGAAAGTCTCACTCTGTCACCCAGGTGGGAGTGCAGTGGCACTATCTCCGCTCACTGCAACCTCTGCTTTCCTGGGTTCAGGCGATTCTCCTGCCTCAGCCTCCTGAGTAGCTGGGATTACAGGCATGAACCACCATGCCCGGCTAATTGTTTTTGGTATTTTTAGTAGAGACGGGGTTTCATCATGTTGGCCAGGCTGGTCTCGAACTCCTGACCTCGTGATCAGCCTGCCTCAGCCTCCCAAAGTGCAGGGATTACAGGCGTGAACCACCGTGCCCGGCCCACATTTTGAATCTTTAAATTTCTGTTTAACAGGACAGGTATGGTCTGATTATAAAGTTTTTAAATCAGTTCAAATTGGAAAGAGCAAAGATTCTAGGCTGTTAAGTTAAATTACATTGAAGCAGATTTGTTCCTGCATCTCGTCTGGATAAAGGGGAGATGGAGGTGTCAGGGCCACAGGAAGACTTTGTTAATGGGTGCAGCATGAGAGACCCTGGGATTCAGAGGCTCCGTGTCCAGGAAGATGGTCTCCCTACATGTCGGTCTGGATGGCTCTTCAGAGAGGCAGATCCAGGGACTTGGCAGTGTGGGGTAGTCAGAGCTTTGGAGGTCAGGAAGACGCCTGGGGAAGCTGCCTGTGGAGGCGAAGCCGACCTCCGTGCCCTCCCTGTGGGGCAGCCTTGGTTGGAGAAGTGGGGGTTTAAAGGCTCTGATAGGCATCTTTATCTTGCCTTCCTTTTAATCTTCCACCCGTCCACCACCCAGTTCATCAATAGGACATTTCAAGTTTCAATAGGAGAAGGCTTTTCTGGTTTGAATAACACCACGGAAATACCAGCTTGCAGAGAGTTGTTGGAGAAAAGATTATTCTTCTGCATTTTCCCTTTTTGTTTAGATGCTTCCTGCATATAAACCAGAGCAAACATGTTTTTAAACACTGCAGTGGGTCTGTCAGATGAATGAAGGAATCCCTTTGAAGAATTCTGTAACTTCTTTATGAGGCTATTAAAATGGCACACTCCACAAACCAAGTGCGAATTAGTTGAATCACTGCTGTGTGTAATACTCCAGGTTTCTATGTTTTCTGGGAAAGCTGTGAAGGAAAAAGAAGTCAGTTTGGTAATCGACAATGAGAATAGGCAGCACTGTTGGTATTTGAGAGCTGTGATCTGATGCTACTAATTTCACAGTAAGATCTGTCAAGATTAGGCAAAGATTTGATTATTAGATTTTATATATTTCTGGGCTTTTAAATGAATTTAATAATTGAGTTATTAACTTTTAAAATGATTGTTAGCCTAATACCCATCTTATTTGTTTTTTCTTCTTTCTTCTTCTTCTTCTTTTTTTTTTGAGATGGAGTCTTGCTCTGTCGCCCTGGCTGGAGTGCAGTGCCATGATCTCAGCTCACTGCAACCTCCACCTCCCGGGTTCCAGCGATTCTCCTGCCTCAGGCTCCCAAGTAGCTGGGTTTACAGGCACGTGCCACAACCCTTGGCTAATTTTTGTACTTTTAGTAGAGACGGAGTTTCACCATGTTGGCCAGGCTAGTCTTGAACTCCTGACCTCGTGATCCGCCCGCCTTGGCCTCCCAGAGTGCTGGGATTACAGGTGTGAGCCACTGCACCCAGCCAACCCATCTTATTTTTTAGGTATTATGATTCCTTTTAAATTCAAGTGCAGCTTAATGAGATATCAATAGCTAATATTTGGATGTAGAATGTTAAAGTATAAGTCTGACCTACTAAATTTATTTAGGAAACGTGCACGCAAAGACGTTTGACTTTAAGATACCTGAGTGCAGACTAGGGTTTGCACCGTCTTTCTGTCTGATCTTGGTGGTACCTAGAACCTGGAATCTGCTCCCTTGACATGCGCCGAATTGAACTGTGACTTGCTGTTACCGACAGAAAGCAAAGGATTGGATTCTTTGTACAAGAAAGTAGATGTAAATCTAGAGAAGAAATGGTTTCTTAAAAAGACTCGTCAGCATGTAGATTGCAGAGGTTAAAGTTTGACAAATAGTATTTGAAATTTGTTGATGTATTATTCTCCAAATGCAGTGTATAAAAATTTATCTAAAGATACAGATTGCTAACAAGGAAAGTCTCTCCGGAGATGTTGTGCAGTTGTCTGTCTGGTCAGTTTTTCTAAAGTCTGTGAGTCTTTAGATAATACAGTTAAGTGAGAATTGGCTAAATTTCCCGAATATCGTCATTCTTGAGTTTAAAAATTTCAGTTGTGAAGATAAATGAATCTTATACGTGAAATTTCTTTCATGTTGTAAATTTTACATTTTTTTTTTTTTTTGAGGTGAGGTCTCGCTCTCGTCGCCCAGGCTGGAGTGCACTTGCGTGATCTTGGCTCACTGCAACCTTCGCCTCCTGGGTTCAAGGATTCTCCTTCCTCAGCCTCCCAAGTAGCTGGGATTACAGGCACGTGCCCCTATGCCTGGCTAAATTTTGTAGTTTTAGTAGAGAGAGGATTTCACCATGTTGGCCAGGCTGGTCTCAAACTCCTCACCTCAGGTGATCTGCCTGCCTTGGCCTCCCAAAGTGCTGGGATTACAAGCATGAGCCACTGCTCCCAGCCAATTTTACATTTAAAACATATTTCTTACCATGCTTTTTGACACTTGCTGCTTCTTGTCTCAAACATTGTCAATTATTAGAAAAAATATTTCCTAGTTCATTTAATTTTTGTATTGGTTGTGCATGACTCTTATTAAAGGTGGTCATTGCAAAGCCAATTATAATTTATTTTTGGTGTTTGGAAAATGGTCTGTCAGCATTTCCATTATAAATCCCTATTTTCTTTCTCTTTTTGTTCTTTTCTTTATGGGGTTTATGACAGAGCCATGAAACTTGGTCTAGATTAAAACTTGGCCTATTAGAGCTCAGTCTGAGATTTTTTTCAATTTAGTTCCCAAATTTGTTTTAAATTGTTTCAGATGTTTAGGTTGCAAATGCAAAATATGATTTCAAAGTTTTCAATGCTTTCTAATTTATAACTTAAAAAATAACATGCGAGGTTTAAGATAATGGTAAAGATAATTCTTTTAACTTTAGCTAACCAATTTTCTAATATTTTCAAGAGAATTATTTTGGAAAATAATATGATGCTATTTGGTGTGATCTTGCAATTTTGTTTCCTTTCCTGTCTGTTCCCGTTTCATAATAGAAGAGTTTCTAACCTTTTGCATATATAAAGCTTTTCTCTGTTAAAGGGTTAAATGTATGGAAATCTCTTAGCATGTGCTAAGTGCACCTGCCTGGTCACTGTGGTGGCTCCCCGTGCACACTGCCAAGGGAGGAGGACGGAGGCGCTGGGCCTGGCTCGCCTCGGGAGCCTGTGGACAGCAGGCATAGTGAATTCCACAGTCTGATACCTGTTTTTCCTCTCTTCCTCTAGTGCTAATTTCATTTTGGCTTCTTTGGGGTATTATCTTTTATTTCAATAACTGAGGAGACTTGAGGAGCCAGATGAGACTGTGTTTACATTTAACTTTTTTCTGACTTTTAAAATATGTTGTATTGGAAGCAGCATATTAGATTTTTTAGAATAATTCAAGCCCTAAAATAGTATTGACTTGGAGAATGAAGATACAGGAAGTGAGTTGGTAGCATAATTAAGATTTGTTTTTAGAAAGGTGTTTATATTTTGTTGGCTTGATTGTAATACATTTATTTTCAAGACTTAAAGCATCAAATTTCATTCTTGTCCCATTTAATTTACTGTAATGAACGTGTTGGTTCTAAATATATGTCAGAAATCAGCAATGATGATGATGAGGAGTTAACGAGGAAATCGTGAAGGAGGACTGTTACGAATTACAGTGATGTTGGAGGACCGGCCATGAATGACGGCAACTGTGGCCTTTCAGATCAGAACTCTGCTCTTCTTACGAGGAAATGAGAAATGTGCCGTCAGGAGAAGGGCGGCTGCTGATGTGTTGTAGTGAGGACTCTTTAGAGTCCAGGTTTGCAGCTCCTCGGAGGCACAGGCACTGCCCAGGGGTGCCGTTGGCGTCCACAGCAGAGCATCCTTGTGCCCAGTCCGCCGGGAGACTTCTGCCTTTATCCGTTTTACACATTGGATGACCGCACGGCTTCTTGAAGGGCTGGTTCTGTGTGTCTAAAAACACTGCAGTGAAGGGCGACCGTTTCGGCGCGGAAGTGCACTGTTGTGGGGCAAGGGCCTCATCTGCTCACTCACGGATGTGGAGTGAGCGCGTTCTGA